GGCGGTCAGCTGGCCCGCGCGTGGGAACTCTGACCCTGCGTTTTTTCCTCAGGTTTAGTTAGTTGTGCGCACGGGAGCTGGGTGTAGGGGTGAGGCACCGAGGGGAGCAGAGCAGGCGGCTCTGACACGCAGGGGGCGCTGCGGGGGTCTGCTCTCCCGGTGGTCACCCCCGGACTTAGCCCTTGCGCCACCCGGAGGCCCCTATGACCCTCACTTATAATTTCCTACTGAGCTAGCAGTGATCATGGCTACAACAGGAGCGAAAGTGCTGGAAGCACGGCCGCGGGGTGGACGAGTCTCGACCCCACCCCCACCCCACCCCCCTCCTTAGCTGTGGCGGCTGCTCCTGCAGCCCTGAAACGGGGAGCAAAGGCGAGGGGTGTGTGTCAAGGAAACCGCCGGCTCGATCCTTACAACTTAGTTCCCAGAGTCTGTGGAATGGCATTTGCAAGAGCTCTCAGTTGGTGCTCACGGTCACTCACTCTACCTCGGTCACTCACTCTACCTCGTAATCTCTTAAATTCCTTTGTGACTTTTTGACTTACAAATACTTTTTAAAATTATTTTTGCTATTCAGGTAAAATTTACATGTCATAGAATTTACCCTCTGAAACAACTCATTTTTGTGGATTTAAGTATATTCAGAGTTGGGCAACCATCACCAATTCCAGAACCTTTTCATTACTTCCAACCCGGTGGAAACACCCCGCGGTGTTAGCATTTAGTGTTTAGTCCCATTCTCTCCAGCGCCTTGCCTGGCGGCTCCTAATCTGCAGGATCTGTTCTTGAGTCTGTTGTTGAGGAATTAACAGCCTCTAGTTTTTTGACAGTGATTGTCAAAACAGCCGCCACAGCTTCTGCCTATGAAGAAAATTCTTGGAAGTAGCAGGATGAGTGGGTGGAGCTGGAGGTTAAAAACAGGAGTTTCTCATTAAGAATGACCAGTTTCTAGGTAGTTAATTATGTGTGAGCAGTATTCAGGGTTAAATAAGGCTAAAAAAAAATCAGTCCTTCTACCTGGTTTTTAAACTCTTAAAAATTCTTTCAGGTGCTAAAGATGTTTGCTTTTGTATGTAAAGTGAAAAAATAACCTTGGTAACTTTATCCATTGACTTAACTTATTCTTCAGTATTTCAATACCCCCTGTCTTCAGCACTGAAAGTTGGCATCTCCTTCGTCCTTCCTGTATGACCTTACCTCAGAAGGGTCAGCAGGGACATTTCCAGTGTCCTTCAGTTGTTTGGAAATATTAGCGATTGCTCTCTATGATCTTTGTATGGTCCTAGAAATTGATGTTAGCATAAGAGAGTGTACCCAATTATTAAATTGGAAGGCTTGTGCTAAAGAAGGAAGGAAAAGATGTATTACATTACTTTTGTATGCCTCTGTATTTTTTGAATTTGACTTAGCGGTATTGTTGCTTTTATAGTAAGCAAAGAAGTAAACAGTAATTTGAGGCAATTTCCTAGAGGGCTTGACCCTCTCAGAGAGTGGCTAATGCCTTGTTAGGGGCCACCGAGGAAGGTACCTATATTGACTTTCTAATTATCGCTCAAGGCTGTGTGCCAGGCTTTTGTGGACACCAGGGGAGCTGGTATAACTGATGTGGGCTGTACTCTGTCCTAGGGAGCTGTTCTCCCCATCTCAGAAGTACCAGCTGTTGGCGTACCACGCAGATGCCCTCTTCCACGACAGGGAGTACCGGAACGCTGTGAGCCGGTACGCCATGGCCCTGCAGCAGAAGAAGGCACTGAGCAAAACGTCCAAAGTGAGGCCTTCAACTGGGAATTCTGCATCTACTCCGCAAAGCCAGGTAACTGGAGGTTGGCATGTGATGGGGGCTGTTTTTTTTTTTCTTCGAAGAGCAAAAGAGAGTGAAGTCTTTACTGTATAATTGTAGAAGACGATGGACTAAAAAATAATTTTAGAAGGGAACTAAGTGGAGAAACAAAGGTGAAAAAACCACTTAGGTGCATGCAAGATTACATCCAGCCAAGCAGAAAGGGTCAAGCAGAAGTCACTCTGTGGACTAATCCATAAGTGGAGTTAAGCATAGTGTACTTAGGTTCTAACTGAAGCCGGATGTTCCTCCTCTTACAGACACAGAACTCAAAATTTAGGGGATTTGTATGATGTTAACCGACGTAACATTTTTAAAACGTAGCTCAGTTATTAGGGCTAAGTGCCTAGAGAAATTTATGGGAAATAACCTAACAACTCCTGCCAGTTTAGATTGCTTAAATAGTTAAATTACTGGAAAATATTTTCATTTCACCATTTGCCGGAATCGTCTCGTTGTTAGACATGAACTCTAATGGCCGACTCACCAGAAGATTTCCAGATGGTTGCGCTTCCATCTGGAATATCAAGAAGCCAAACCAGGGTGGGGAAAGGCAGAGCTTGCAAGCTTGACCTTAGAGCAAGGGAGGGTTTGAGGGGTCAGCGGGGAGGGCGAGCAGAAGGGGCAGAGAGTGCATGGTGCGAGAGCTCGGGGACTGAACCTGGGGGAAGGTCAGTACTGTCCACAGGTGTCCGTGGTCTAAGAAAGTAAATAATGAACTAGAGAGAGGATCTGCAGTGTGTTAGAGGCTGCTTGCTGCAGTATTGTTTATAAGAAAAGAAACTGGAAGCAAAAGTTTTCATCGGTAGGTTCTGCTCAAATTACAGTCGGCTGTGAGGGATTTGAAGGTGGAGCTGCTGAAGAAAGGGAAAATGAGAGCGACGTGCTGGCTTGGAAAGAGCTGTATATTAATTTTTCAAAATTGAAGCAGTGTTTCCCATGCACTTTTTGCTTAAAAGTGAGAGTGTGTGGGCATACCTGCCTAAAACACATGGCTAACACACGCGAAAGGTTTGTGTGCGAGAAGGAAATCAGTGAATGGTGGAAAGCTTTAGGGAGGGGAACCTTCACTTTTAAATTTGAACCTGTAGACTACCCGCACATCTTATATTTAATTGGAAAGTCAGTAGAATGACCTGGGGGTGAAATTTTAAGTCATGTTTATTCTGCTTTGTATTTTTCCACTTTAATATATGTATTTTTATAACACTCTTCATTTTTGTGCTTTCTCACCCGGTTATAGTCCCGGTGAAATCCCCACCGCAGTCCTCTGCTCCTCCCACCTCTGCTCGGATCCTGGTCCCCACCCCCTGTAGAATGTCTCTGGCTTAAAGTTGCCGGTGACTTCGATTTTTGCTTTATTATAGTTACTTTGTTTTCCTGATCCCTTACTTGGCCCTCTACATTCCTCTACATGAGTGAGACCATCCGGTACTTTCTTTTTCTTTCTGGCTTATTTCAGGGAGCACGATCCCTCCCAGCTGGACACTGCACCCAAAGAAATCTGAGTGTATTTTTCCACACTTAAAAAAAAGTAATTGCTTTTTCTTAAGGTCTGTAAATTTTTCTCTCTTTATGTAAAATCTTTGGGGATTTTTTGTTAGCAGAGAAGTGATTACTAGGATTTCCTGTTTCTCTAACACTGATTGAAAGTCCAAATAGGATCCAAATAGGATCACTCTTGGAAGTGCATTTCAAGCAATTCAGTATGCCAGTCACCATGCTAAATCTTTTCATGTGAATAAAATACATTTTATCTTCAGAGAATTTTGAAAGATTGAGACACAGTTTACATGCTATAAATTTCACTGGGTTTTGATGTATTCGCATATCATGCAGCCAGTCACCACTAGTTTCAGAACATTTCCATATCCCGGGAAGGACCCTTTGCTCTCTTGTCAGCCCTGGGAACCATGAGCTTTCTTGGGATTTAACCACTCCAGACTTGTCAGATGAATGACACACACAGACTCTCTCCCTCTCCCTCTCTCCCTCTCCCTCTCCCTCTCCCTCCCTCTCTCCCTCTCTCCCTCTCCCTCTCCCTCTCCCTCTCCCTCCCTCTCTCCCTCTCTCCCTCTCCCTCTCCCTCTCCCTCCCTCTCTCCCTCCCTCCCTCTCCCCCCCTCCCCCTCTCCCTCTCCCTCCCTCCCCTTTTATGTTTGGCTCTTTTTTTTTGAGAGAGAGAAAGAAAAAGTGTATTGTAGAGGACAGAAGGATCAGAAATAGTCTCTAGCATACTATTTTTATGGTTGATTTATGTTATGTCATGAATCCTTTATTTTTCATTGCTGAATGCGTCGTAGATATGTTGCATTTTATTCCTTAGTTGTTGGACAGTTGTATTGTTTCCACTGTCTGCCTGTTCAGATGCTGCGGAGCTATTCGTGTGGACACAGGTTGTCGCTTCTCCTGGATGTATACATGTAGCAGCAGCACTGCTGGGTCGGGTTAACTGTTTATGTTGAAGACCTGCCATGCTGTTGAAGTAATATTTTGAGTAGATGTTTTCATTGCTTCTTAGTGTCTTCCTTCTGAAATTGAAGTGAAATACAAAATGGCTGAGTGTTACACCATGCTAAAGCAAGATAAAGATGCCATTGCTATACTTGATGGGATCCCTTCAAGACAGAGAACTCCCAAAGTAAGTTGAAATAACAGTTGACTTCTTATGGTCATCCTCCCAGGTCACCTGACCTCTTCCTCCATGCCCTGTTGAGCCTATCTTTTACTTTGGACTCTCCTTGTTCTCCTGTTAAGGATGTGGATACCCAGAGACATAGATGAGTGATTTCCTTACAAGAGGCCCTAAAAATACAGGAGAACACAAGTGTTTATTCTTCGTGTTTTGTTTTTTTTTTTAAGACTTATTTATGCACACAAGAACTGGGTATAGACCAGAGGTGCAGGGGATGAAAGGAATCATCAGAGTGGGGAGCAAAACAGGTGGATCCACTGAAACACTGCTGAGGGGTGCAGTAGGCAGCGGGGGTGGGGGGGTACTCCCTGGCTGGGGCTCAGGCTTGCTGCAGTGGCTGGGGAGAGCTTGATAGTGCTGAGACTTGTTAACCCTCCGGCCGCCAGGGCCTCCCAGCAATACTACTTTAGAACTCAGTGTTTGTGATCTGTGGGTGTGCCCTTGCTAATGTAAATGCTTTTGTTGATCCTTTTATTTTCAGAAGCAGGGCTGTAGTTCTTGTGTTTGGGATAGGTATCTGTGATTCATTTGGTAGTATCGCAGAGTGAAGAGAACAGTTCACCTGAAATCAGTCAGACTCACCACCTGAGTTTAGGTGTACAAGATATATGCAGTGTGAACTTGAGCAGGTCACTGAATCAGGATTTACTGTCATTTAGAAATAAGATGGCAATAACAGTACTGTCTCTGCTAACTTGGAAACAGTGAGTAAATGCGAAGTGCTATTCTGTAAGGAGTTTTTTTTTTTTTTTTTTTAATTAAAAAAATGTAAATCATAGTGGACGTGCTTTAGGGTATTTGGAAGTACGAGGTCCGGTTAGAGCGGTGAGGCTCCTTGCTTGCCCTCAGGGTTGATTCTTCGCAGCTCGTGGCCATATCACTTGGCCCTTGCATTTCAGAGGGAAAGTTCTGTGCTGAATGAACACACAGGATTATACAGAAGGGACCCTGTGCCCTTTGGCCCTGTCTGGATTCTGAGCAGTGGCGGCCCTGCTCATTGTAGTGTTTTTCACCCATGTGTTGCTGGGCTTTAACAGTAACTAAACTTAATGAGAATGTGTGTAAGTTCCTCTTCATGACAAGAATTCATTTACCAGTTCTGGGTTTTTATGTTTGTTTGTTTGTTTTTAAAGATTTATTTATTCATACAGAACTGGGGTACAGGCCAGAGATGCGGAAGTGGTCACCTCCGGGACAGGCGGGGATCGAACTCATGCGGAAGCGGCTTTAGTTTCTCAGTGCAGTGCTTTAACCCACTGCGCCACCAGGGAGGGCCCAGTTCTGGGTTTTTTAATCAAGCGCATTTCGTGGTGCCCACTGCGCTCAGTTACAGTCGGAGCCTCTGTGGACTACCTCGTCTCACAGTGAGTGCTGCTGCATGCCGCACCATGCTCTGACACGGCCAGAGGGTCATCCTCTGGCATGTCCAACGCGGCTGAATTTGGGAAAGCCCTTTTGGTTATAAATTGTTAATGATGCCTGTTACTTCCTGGAAATGTACCCTGGTCTTACTGAAAATACACCATGCTCCTTTGGGGACATTTTGGAAACTGAGCAGTGGCCCAGACTGATTCAGCAGGGGTAGCCAGCATTGGGTAGTTGCCGCCACCATCTGGAGCCGGCCTGGAGCACATGACTTCACTGCAGAGCTGGCTTACTGGTGGGCGACACACACTTCAGCCACAGACCTGGTAGGGCGTCGGCTGGCCCTGAGTCCGAGTCAGAGTATGTCTAGAGGAGCGTCTGGTGTGTGGCAAACTCTGCCACGCACACCTTCATGTTTCAGAGGACACTTCCCCCACAAGACGGCTGTGTCCTGGTGAATCTTTGACTTTCCCGAGTAAATATACCAACATACAGTTTATGGAGACTTCAGGAAATGGCAGTTGCTTGTGTTTGTAACTGGGGGGATGTGGCTTTATGGTGTGTTGAAGTAAGACTGTCTTAGAAACAGTGGATTTTCTTGTTAGTACTTAAAACTCACTATTTCCAAGTGACAGGTAGATTGAAGATAATTTTACTGTTTGTTGAGACAGGCGGTGCTGCTCAAACGTTCATAGCAAACAGTTGAGAAAGAATCTTGAATTTAAGCCTATCCTCTTCTCAAGTCTTGTCACTCATACTGGAGTTTTAAGTACCTTCTTTGCATTTTCAGCAAAGAAATCTGAGGTCAAGCAAAAAGTCCTAGCGCCGTACGAGATTGTCTGCTAACTCTGAGTCCACACTCGGAACACATGCCCTGCGTGGGCAGAACTGCGCTTTTAACTCTCTGGTGTACCAGCCCTGTGTACAAACCCACACAGACCTTAGGAGTTGGTGTTTTTTTCCTTTGTGCCATATGTTAACTGTTTCCTTAAGGTAATGATTTGGCAGACACTGTTTTTTACATGTAAGATCTGATGACTTTCAATGGGGTATTGTGTTTTTCTCTTTGTACACGGTCATTTATCACTTCCTTTGAACTTCTGTGTTATCTGTAAATTTTAGGTTTTCTTGTACTATCCCTGTTGCCTTTTTAGGGACAGTTGTTTTACTGACTTCCAGATTTGAATTGTGCTAAAAATGCACTCACGGCATTTAATTAGTACAACCAGTGTGGGTCATTGTCGCCTGTGGAGGCAGTTTGATTTTTGTAGCATTGTTTGGTAGTAAGTCAGCGAGGGCTTCACACTAAGCACTAGAAAGGGCGGCCTTTGGGCCTCCCTGCTGGTGTGGGCTTCGCAGCACTATGAGCTGTCCAGCCTCTGCTGCCTGAGCAAGATCCCCAGCCAGGAAGGGACCCCAGAACGCAGCAGACCCCGCCTGTCTCCCTTCTCCCTACTCTGTTTCTGGGGAATCCTCTCACCCCCCACAACACCTCTGGACTGCACCCCAGTCCTTATATGCATAAATAATCAATGTTTTGAAAAAAAAAAAAAATCAAGGCTAGAGTCTGACAACTAGGCTGTCAGAGATACACTTCTGTATCTGTTTCCTTTTTAGGGAAAATTCATCTGTTCTTTCTTAACTAGCTGTGTTAAGAAATCCTCGCTTTCTTACACCTTGATAATAATTACATTTAAAATACATAACTTGAACAATTCAAGGATAGTTGTTTTTATTTTAAAGGTTTATTTATGCCTATAAGAACTGGGGTGTAGGCTAGCGGCACAGCAGGGTGTGGGGGGTTTAGAGGGCTCCCCAGAGACAGTGGGGGAGCAGAATAAGTGGATCCCCTGAAACCCCCTGCTGAGGGAGCAGCAGGGAGACAGGAGAGGCCTGCTGCGCCCTGGGGCCCCTTCTGGCCGGGGATTGCACCCAGGCGCAGTGGTCGATGACCACCTGATGGCACTGAGACTCACCCCTGCGCCCTGGAAGGCCTCTGGTTCATCTTGTTTAAGGTTAAGACTCAAGGTAATTAAAATGCTATAACATTTCTCCCAGTAAATATTCCTCTTTCCAGAGGCAGCATCTTTGGTCTAGATATCAATGGACCTGTTGGGGTAAGTGAGAAGGTAATTTGATGTTCCTCTTAGAAATAGGCGGCTCTTGGAAGAGCAAAGGGCAGTATTTGCCTCTTTTCTGTGAAGAATGGGATTGTTCTTCACTTATTTCTATAAGGCTGTGAGTAGATTTTTCATTCAGACGTAGAATAGTACCTGGTATTTCTGATTACAAGCTATTTTCTTTGCAAAATACATGTACTTATCATCTTTGTTTCTGTTTGTCACAGATAAACATGATGCTGGCCAACCTGTACAAGAAGGCTGGCCAGGAGCGCCCTTCGGTGACCAGCTATAAGGAAGTGCTGAGGCAGTGCCCCCTGGCCCTCGATGCCATTCTTGGTACGGTCGTTCTCTGCCTATTTTCTCCCTAGGTGGTTCTCAGTCTTGGTTATGCCAAAATACTTAAGCCTGTGAAGCGGCCCAGGCCTCCGACCTCGAGGCTAACGCAGCAGGCCACTGTCTTTCTCTGATCGAGAAACACCACATTTGGTCTGGTTGGCTGTCTGCACCTTGCTTAGACTAGAAAGGGGGCCACCCTAGGGTGGCCTCAGCAGTATGCCGCCCTGGAACTGTTGCGTGGGTGCTGCGCCTCACTGCCCTCCCTTCTGCGCCCTAGGCTTGCTCTCCCTCTCCGTGAAGGGCGCGGAGGTGGCCTCCATGACGATGAACGTGATCCAGACCGTGCCCAACCTGGACTGGCTTTCTGTGTGGATCAAAGCGTACGCTTTTGTGCACACTGGGGACAACTCTAGAGCGATCAACACCATCTGGTGAGAGCCCCCAAATCGATTCTTTGTTCTTGAGGCCAGAGGGCTGCATAGCTAAATGACCAAAACAGGGAGGATGAGCTGCTTGTCTCCAGGTGTTGTGGCCAGTTGTTCATGGACAGTCTCAAGTGCAGTAATCTCTGCTGAAGGTCCTGCACTGCATTCAGCTCCCTTCTTGGAAACATAGCAGCCCTGCAAAGCAGGGTACCATGAAGCATGAAGAGCAGCTGTTCGGGGCAGTCCGGAGTTTATTCAGGTTATTGTGGTGTCGGCCTGGGTGGCACCTTGGGCTGAGGCCTTCGTTCTAGCCAGGCATCTTCCAAAGACAAAAGACTGGGGCTTTTGTTAGGCAGACGGATTGGGTTCAGTAGCTGCCTTGTTGGATGAAACAACTTTTTTTTTTTTTTTTTTTTTTTTTTTTAAAGATTTATTTATTTATTCATACAGAACTGGGGTACAGGCCAGAGGCTCAGGGGCGGTGAGAGGCTTCACCAGAGACAGAGTGGGGAGCAGAACAGGCAGATTGACGAAGTACACTGCTGAGGGGAGCAGCGGGCGGGTCCGGAGAGGTCTGGCTCGCCATGTGGTCTCCTCCAGGGCAGGCGGCAGGCGGGAATAGAACTCATGCGGAAGTGGCTTCAGATTCTCAGTGCTGTGCTTTAACCCGCTGCGCCACCAGGGAGGGCCGAAACAACTTTTTTTTTAAGGATTTATTTACTCATGCATACAAGAACTGGGGTACAGAGGTGGGGGGCGGGGGATGAGAGCACTCACCAGAGACATGGGGAACGAAACAGGCAGATTGACGAAGTCCACTGCTGAGGGAGCAGCAGGGAGACAGGAGGGGTCTGCTGCGCCCAGTGGGTCACTCCTGCCTTGAGGATCAAACTCGTGCTGCAGGAGCTGTGGACAGCTTCATAGTGCTGCGCTTTAACCAGTTGCATCACTGGGGGAGGGCCCCAATGAGATAACCTTTCACATCTCAAAGGAATGTTGTTCTCCGAAAGGTGGCAGCCAGAAAGTTCTTTGCGTGTAATAGAGATTTCCACTTTATCTAATACACTTGTTATGTTCTCGCTAACCTTTTAAAAAGATGAGGCTAGGAAAGGAAGTCTGCTGTGCACATTTCACTTTCTTATAAAAGTTTCAGAAATACACTAAAGAAAATGGCACCTTCGTAGATTGTAAGGTTCAATGTTTGATATTTTAAAGTTCCCTGGAGAAAAAGTCCTTACTGCGAGATAATGTGGATCTACTGGGAAGCTTAGCAGATCTGTACTTCAGAGCTGGAGACAATAAAAACTCTGTATTGAAGTTTGAACAGGCACAGATGTTGGACCCTTATCTGATCAAAGGTACGTAATTCTTGGGGCGGGGCAGGGCGGAAGTGGCCCGGGAGGGTCTGGTCAGAGAAAGTGGAGAATGGAGCAGGATACTTTTTTTTTTTAATTGAAATAGTTGTAAAAGTTATGAGAGTAGCCTTTTACCTCCCGACACCTGTCCATAAGGCCTGGGCAATTCCATTTTGAGCAGTTGTTTTTCCAGAAGGGTCATCTCCACAGGTGATGAGTTTTGAGAGCAGTCACAGCCTCTCAGTACTGCTCGGGCTCCCACATCCCTGACTGAAGGTTCACTGGGTCCCCAGCAGCATTGCATCCTTAAAGTAATTTAATTTTACTCTGATTTAGTGCAGTTAAAGGGAAGTCAGTGAGCAGATACTAAGGAAGGGTGAGGTGATCAAAAGGAGTAATTGGGGTAGCCGTCTGGCTAGAAAGATTGCAGCTGCAGGTATGAAGCATAGGGCTTTCAAGGCCGGCTGACAAGTGACAAATTCGTGCTCGGGAAATAAGGTCAGTGGCTGGCATCTGCCTGTGAAGGCCCAAAAGGCCACGGGAAAGCCAGTCTTGAGACCTCACATGCCTGCGGCCTCCTTCAGTCACAGGAGGCCTGGGGGAGGGTACCTTCTTCGCTGGCCTGTCAATGGGGAGCGAGGTCCAGAAAGATGAGGTCTCCCTCAGCCCAGTGTTTACTTCTCTTTCCCGGCTGTCCACGCTCATGGTGAATATGGTTTGAGAGACACTGATTCTGTAGGAGCTGGCTGCTCCGGCCTGCGTGAGGGCCGGCAGGGGTGTGGCTATAACCCCGCTGAGACACAAGATCCCCCGCAACCCCAGTCCCACACACAGAAAGGGGTGGAGGGGAAACAGCGGGAGATGGGTGACAAGTGCTAGGCTCTTTTACGGAACAGGGACAACAGTTTTGTGGGGGGTGCAAGGGAGCACTTACAGGCGAACCAGGTTGCAGAGAGAATCGGGTGCTTTTTCTGGAGTAGGCCTCCTTTTTCTGGGGCTAACTGGTATATTGAGCTGGTGCTCCTGCCGGCCTCAGTCTCTCGGGGAGCACTTGTTGGCGCCTTTCCTGGGTCTTTTCTGCCTGAGGGTTAGGACGGTTGTACATGTGCAGAGGCTGCAGGGACGAGCGGTTCCCGCAGATCACAGGCTTTGGGTTGTGGGCTGGGTCCTGCGACCCTTTCGCTCTTTACATGTCTGTGTGTGTTGCTCATTGGTCATTTGGTAAGGAAGTGGGGCTCTGGGGGTGGCTGGGGAGGTACAGGAGCAGGGGTCCCCACGGGGCTTGGCAGTGGCTGCACCCCGAGAGGACGCTGCTGCTGCCGCCTCATTCAGGGTGCCCCTTCCCTAGGGATGGACGTGTACGGCTACCTGCTGGCGCGCGACGGGCGCCTGGAGGACGTGGAGAGCCTCGGCTGCCGCCTCTTCAACATTTCGGACCAGCACGCAGAGCCCTGGGTGGTCTCCGGGTCGGTCTGCGCTAAGCCAGCGCCGCTCCGGGTCCCGTAGAAGAGCGTGCTTCTCCCTGGGAGACTTCAGCGCACGCGTGGTCTCCCAGACACGCTGGCTGGCCCCATGGCACCGTGGCACGGAGACCGCGCCCCTCTTTCCTGTTCCCCTCGTTTGGGAAGTGGGACGCTGCGCTTGCTGCTTGGGGTTGAAGGCACCTGAGTGGTGACGGCCCCTCGGGGCCTGTCTCCTGGCCAGGTTCTTCCCTGGTTGCCCTCCCGAAGCAGAACCCCACAGCAACACACACGTAGGTGCTGCCCCGCTCATCTCCTAGGCTGATGGTGCTCATGTGATTTGTATGGAGCAAGATCATGTGGAGGCGGACGTGGGGCTAAGTTTTCCTTAGTTTCCTTGCGTGACTTTGGCTGTCTCCCTGCAGGTGTCACAGTTTTTATAGCAAACGCTACTCCCGGGCGCTCTACTTAGGCGCCAAGGCCATTCAGCTGAACAGCAACAGCGTCCAGGCTCTGCTGCTGAAGGGAGCGGCCCTCAGGAACATGGGCAGAGTCCAGGAGGCCATAATCCACTTCCGGGAGGCCATCCGACTTGCCCCTTGCCGCTTGGATTGCTATGAAGGTGAGGAGTGGGGTGGCCTCGTGGCGGTGCACAGTCCCCATGTGTTCCCACAGGTCCCCTGGAGCTTCTGGAAATCCTGGTGCCCCGTGTATGGGGCCTGGAGATCAGCATAGCCTGGCTTGAGCCTCCAGGACATGCTGGTGTGCACATGAGTTTGCGTGCCACAGCTTCAGTGATCAGGATTCCCGGCGAACTTCTGCTGGGGTTTCTACCACGCACTTTGGGAATCTCTCTGTCCTTTTGCTCATAAGGGGGTGTTGAGGTCGCTCCTTGCCTGTGCTCAGAAGTGGCCGCACCCTGGGTAGTGCTGTGCCATCACCGTCTGGTCTGGCCGCGGTGTCTTCCCGTCGGCTGGGGAGCTGTGGTTCTGACCTCCAGGGCGGCAGGTGGGGTCAGACTGTGGCCTCTTCTGTGACCTTTGCAGTTCATGCGAACTGACCCCTGAGCTGAGAGGCGCGTATGGGCTTTGGCAACACGCAGTGACTCGGCACAGACACTACGTAGGTCTTCAGAGATGGAGTTTCTACAAAGTGTATTTTTATAAGAATGTAAAAATAAACCCAGGAGTCTGGGAGTTCCTTGCTTTTAACAGGAAGATGAGTTCAAAATTGAGAAATAAAATTTGGAAGCTGGGATAAAGAACAAATGTATTGAAGTAGCGAGAACGCGATGCCGTTAGGATTTTGTTCTTACAGATACCTCAGCAGGCCAAGCCTTTGGTCACCTGATCCTGGAAGGGACTCTACCCTCCTGCTGCCGTTGTCAAGCTTATTTCCCCTGCTGTGTGCCTGTTGGCACGGTGGGGCACCAGGAACCCCGCTGCCCAGCCAGTGACCAGCCTTTGGCTGGTGCTGGGATGAAAGGGCGCCGGGCTGCTGGGCAGGGGTGCTCTCCGCCCTCCCCCTAAGGTCTTTGTATTTCCTCCTGAAGTTCCGTGGGGCGTAAAACAACTCAGTAAGGGATGCAAACCGTCCTGTTCCTAACCCAACATGTTGCCCCTGAGAGTTAGGCAGTTTCTGGTTCAGTAGCTGAAGTGTGTGGTAAAATGTGCACAAATATCACAAGCGCTGCTAGGGTAGGGGAGTGTGCAGAAGAAATCTGCCAGGGACTGTGTGGTCTGGGGTTTAAGCTGCTTTCTGTTCTGATGTGTGCTTCATGCCAACAAGTACCCCTCTCGTCTCCAGCTTCTTGAAGAGTTGGCCATCTGTAGTGTCCCCACAGGGCACCTCTTGTGGAGGCGCTGGAACCTCCTGTTGGAAATAGCTTTACCTATTTCAGCTAACGGCCAGCACCCATGCTGCCGCTCCCGGCTATGTGTTGGGTGCCGTTGCCATTAGCACTTCCCCTCATCAGGTGCGAAGAGCACTTCCCCCAGGAGGCAAGCACCCTGGTCCTCCCTCCCTGCTTTCCTCAAACTGCCCCTTGTCTGAAACTGGCAGGGTTGTGCTGTGGGGAGTGTCCAGTGGAAGCAGGCTTGGGACGGCCATGTAGGTGAACTTTTCTGCGATTGTCCCCCCAGGTCTCATCGAATGTTACTTAGCTTCCAACAGCATACGGGAAGCCATGGTCATGGCCAACAACGTTTATAAAACTCTAGGAGCCAACGCCCAGACCCTTACCCTGCTGGCCACTGTTTGTCTCGAAGACCCAGTGACACAGGAAAAAGCCAAAACTCTGTTAGATAAAGCCTTGAGCCAAAGGCCGGACTACGTGAAGGCTGTGGTGAAGAAGGCAGAACTGCTCAGTAAGTGACTTCCTTGCCGTGGTGCTTCGACTCTTTCCGCCTGAGACCAGGGGTGCCCTGTCCCAGCGGTTACAGGGGCTGCACAGGTGTCTGGTCTGCAGCAGGGCTGGGCCTGAGGTTGGCCTGTGGAGTGACCACATGCAGCAGTGACCGGTGTGGACCGGCTGTGCCAGCTGTCCTTGGTAAGGCTCTAGGGTCCAGATCTAGTTGTCCGAAAGAGTCTGGGGTCTGAGCCAATGGGGCCAGTTTGAAGTTCCCCCACTTCGATGGATTTTCTTAGGACTTCTGGCCTGCATGCTTTTTAGTTCAAATTGGTGATGAACTCCTGGGTTTGGACTAGGAAAGCACATGAAATGCATTCTGCCTTTTGTTTGAACCTAGGCTAAGAGAACGTGTAAAACATCATGACTCACGCTGCAAGACTCCTGATAGGTTAGGGATCCAGCTGGCTGACTCACGTCCTGCCATACCACCGCTTGAAGCCCTCTACAAGTGGACTATCGGGCTGTGGCGATCACTGTGCTCTCGGGTATGCAGCTTGGGGTGTGGCGTACATAGGAAAATGAGAGTCTTTCTCTGCAGGCAGGGAGCAGAAATACGAGGATGGGATTGCCTTGCTGAGGAATGCGCTTGCCAACCAGAGCGACTGTGTCCTGCACCGCATCCTGGGGGACTTCCTCGTGGCTGTCAGCGAGTACCAGGAAGCGATGGACCAGTACAGTATTGCGCTCAGGTAGGCGCCAGCCTGGCAGCGAGCGCACCATGGGCATGGGTTATCTGTGAGCAGCGGCGCTTAGGGTTTCCAGAGCTCCAGAGCACATTGACAGTAAAGCACTGCCTCACTGTTTGCCAGCGCACACACGGCGGCATCTGTTTCCGCTTGTGCAGCTCTGCCTGGCCGTGCCCACACGAGTCCGTGTTTTCATAGGGTTATCTGTGGAGATACTTTGTATTCTGCCTTTTCAGATCAGTGTTGTGAGTACTTTCCCATATTCCTACTTACTGTGGTAGTTCCGAGCTTGAGCTCTGAATTCTGACCCTGCCTTCACCACCTGTTCTCTTGGGCTCGTGGCTAATACATTTCCTTGCCTGTAGCTGCCTTATTGGTACTGAGGACTGAAAGGGTAATCCCACGTGAAGCTCCCGGCACTGTGCCTGCTGTGAAGTGAATGCTGACTAAATGGTGGCATTCTCACGGCTTGCTGCAGAAGTGGCTTCTTTGAGGATTGTTGTCTGTGTGGCCGCAGGTTGTGTGAAGGCCTGTTGTTAACTGAGTCTGAACACCCCCGGGTGTTCGTGCCTGGCCTCTCAGGAACCCCCGGGACGCCGCGGCTCTGGGGCGCTCAGTCTTGGCTGTGTGCCCACATAGCGGTCTCCAGAAGGCAGGGAGGGTGCAGGGGTGGGGTCCTGGTCTGGGCAGGGCCACTCGGGATATCCAGAGAAGTCGCCCATCAGTGCAGTTACATAAGCACCTGCTTTTTGGAAACCCACACACAAGTGGAAAAGTACAAACTTCATCAGAGGTGGTATTTCCTAGAGATGGGGCACCTGCTGGCCTAGGCGATGCGCACAGGCAAGAGCAGGTTGCCAAGGAGCCAGGTCAGTAAGGTCCCGGGGCCTCTGCGCTGTACAGGTGCCGGCACGTGTGGTGGCTGTTGGCTGCTGAATGGGGTGGAGGGCAGCCTGCGTCCGACCGTGCCGAGCGGCTGCTGGCCTGCCCAGGGCCCGTGTGTTTTGGCGGACCATTGGTCGTAGTCCGTCACCGGAACATGCAGCCGCCTTACTCAAGAAAGACAGGAGTATGTTGTGGTCCTGGGACTTGGAAGCCCCAGGCTGGAGGAAATGCCCTTTGAATTTGCGTCATTGAGCGCCAGACGGAGGGAGAGAGTGCGAGAGCCCTAGGCCCTGCATGCAGAGCACTCGAGCTGGGCTCTGAGCCCAGGCGGAGCCCCCTTCCCTTGCTGTGGCCCTCAACAGCCTGTAGACCCCGTCGGAGCGGCCACGCCAGCGGGGGCCGTTGGCCTGCTATTTGGGGACATGGTTGCAGGCGGAGGTTCAGGTCGCACCTTTGTTTTGTTGTCCCTAGTTTGGACCCCAATGACCAGAAGTCCCTAGAGGGAATGCAGAAGATGGAGAAGGAGGAGAGCCCCACGGACGCCACCCAGGAGGAGGACGTGGACGACATGGAGGGGAGCGGGGAAGAGGGGGACCTGGAGGGCAGCGACGGCGAGGCGGCTCAGTGGGCTGACCAGGAGCAGTGGTTTGGCGTGCAGTGAGGTGGCGGCGTGTGGCCGTCCCGGGCTCCCTTGCGGACTGAGGAACTCGAGGCGCCTACCCCTGGGGACTGTCGTGTCCAGCGCGCGCTGCCACAGGGCTTGTGCCCTGGCTCCACTATTCTAGTAGTGAGTTCGTTTTCGGGCACCGAGCCTGACCAGCCCCACAGGGAGGGCTCGGCGCTGGGGGGCTGGGCAAGCGGGGCCTGGGTATTGTGGATTCCTGACCCTGAAGGCTCCGCCAGTAGACGGTGCTTTGTCTGCGAGTGACCTGTCATCCAGTGGGAAAGCGTCCTCGCCCGAGTTGGGCAGCAGGACAGGCTGGCCCTGTCACATACGGTCTCTGCTTCCAGAAATGGCCATGAGTTCTCAAACCTCCTGCGTGACCTTGCTTCCTTCCGACGTGAGGAATGCCTTACGCAGTTTTCAACTTGCTGATGTGGTCACCTGCCTGAGCCGGCCAGACGTGGGAAGCAAGCGGGACATGTGGGCACCCGACAATAAACTGGCTTGTACGGCGATGGTGTTGGGTCGGTCAGCGTGGAAGCCTTGGTGGGCGCTTACTCTTCGCTCTCTTACTCACGATGCGTTGATTCTGTTCTGGAATCAGCTGGCTGTAAATGTGTTGTTGGCCCCCCCCCCCCCCCCCGGGGCAGACTCCTGAGGACCCAGTAACGCCGAGTCGGTTCACCCGTTTGTAGTTATGGCGGCGACTGTTCTCGGGGCAGAGTTTGAGCGGGCTTTTTGCTGCCTCAGCCTGGCTCTGAGCTTGGCTCCGGCTGTCTGTCACAGGTCAGCCTGGGGCTCCTTCTCTGGGCCCTGGACCGGGGGCCTCCACCTACCTTTCCCCACCTTTTAATATTTAAGCATGCAGAACTGGGGTGCAGGCCAGAGGTGCAGGGGGTGAAAGGACTCCCCAGAGTCAGCAGGGAGCAGGACAGGCCGACTGACAAAGTCCACTGCTGAGGGGAGCAGCGGCAGGTCAGGAGAGGTCTGCCGGACCCTGTGGTCACTCCTAGGCAGGGAGTGAAATCGCACTGAGGCGGCTGCAGCCAGCTCGCAGTGGTGTGTCCTCACCTGCTGCGCCAACAAGGAGGACCGCCTTTCCCCACCTTTTGTCAAGAGTGATTTTGACTGCACAGTCGGCCCACAGGTGAAGGCAAGGGGTGCTGGCAGCGCTCCACGCTGATCCTGAGCGTGTTTGACTGGGCGGGGCCTGTGTCTGGCACTGAGGCTGCTCTGAGAGCCGAGGCACCATGGGGAGAGTTGGTGCCGGAGGCGGTGCTCTGAGGGCAGTTTCTGAAGAACCCAGAGCCAGCCCGGTCCCAGGGCAGGGACACTCCTTACCGTGTGGTCCAGAGAAGACGGCTCCCTGGCCGCTACCAGAAAAAGGGTGAAACCTCAGCACTCTCCTTACCAGGCAGGAAACCTGCGCCACCCTCCGACCAACCTGGCTTTGCAGGTCAGGCTCCTCCCGCTGGCCTCAGTCTTCCCTGGGCCAGCACCCCCTGCCCCGCCCCCCCCCACCAGCCTGGCCCATTCCAGGCCCCTCCACCTGCAGCTCCAGCGTTTCCATCCCACTGCTCACTCTGAAAGCTTTTGAGGAACCTCAGCTGAGCAGGGAGGCCTGCACAGTCCTCTGCGCCCTTGGCGGACAGCCCTGACATGTGGGACCCTGCTCAGCTGACGTCAGGAGTCAGTTTGGGGGGTCACACGCTGCCTCTCAACTTCCAAATGAGGGGAGCCCGTGTCCAGGGTTCTCAAGCTTGAGTGCCGGCCGCAGACACCAAGGCTACATCAGGCCTACTCCTGCCAGGGCATGGGCTCCCCCACACCTGTTCTGACACAGCTGTTTTGAGGCCACATGTTGAGACTACGCCGATGGGTGAGGGGCCCTGTGGCAGAGGCCTGACCTTGGGGAACCCCACTGCACCTCCTGGAGCCAGTGCCGGTCCCACGCCTGCGCTCCGCGCCCGACCTACGGTGCTGTCTGAGGCCCGGGCGCCGCCTGTGCACAGCAGCCACGCCCCTGCTGAGGACTGCAGACCAGAGTGGACTTGTGCCCACAGGCCCCGGGCACAGCCTGGCCGGGGATCCCCAGCACCAGAGGCTGTCTGAGGTAAGTGCCTCACTGAGATTCCCACTTTGGCACCTCCCTGCCCCAGGCAGCAGGAGAGACCCAGCTGCTCCCATGGCTGGCTGCTTCCCAGCTGGCTGTGGAAAACGGCCTTGTGGGCACGTGACTTACATCACCAGGATGAAGCCACAGGCGCCTGCCCTGGCAGTGGGCAGCAATGGGCCCCCGACAGCCGGGTCACTTGGGAAACTGGTGGACCCAGCGACCCCCTTTTGGTTGATGGTCCCACATGGCCGCCGGCCTGGCATGGCCACTGCCCCAGCCCAGCGGCAGAGGGGCTTGTGCTTGGGGAGGGGACGTGGGCACGTGGGACCTGCAGCCCCAGGACCCAAAGGCAGTGGATGAGCGCAATGGCTGCGCACGTGAGAGGCCACAGGCAGGGGAGGTGCGAAGGCACCGCTGCTCGCCTCATGTACCCAGCGTCTTCGCATGACAAGCGGGGGCCTGGGGTGCTGTGCGCTACCCGCGGAGGCCATGACGCCTGCGGTCCGCAGGGCCCATTCTCACGGCCTCTTGGTGGCCCATGTCACTCGACACGGCTGGTGTGCGGACAGCTGGGGTGCAGCTGCTTTGCCTGTTCTCCCACACCCATGTGGGGTGTCAGCAAGCCTTTCGGGGCTACCGGCTCTTGGTGTGAATGCTGCATCCCGGCCTGTTCTGAGCGCCGTCTGGGCCGCCTGATGTCAGACCCAGCACCACATTGCCTGCCTTGCCCCCAGAGCTGCCTGCCTGCTCCCTTGGAGAGCCTGGGCTGACAGGGCCCTGCCCGAGGGCTGACGGTGGGCGGCCTGGCGGTGGGGGCCCTAGCCCATGAGCCTTGGCGTCTGTTGACCACCTTTCGGGGACTCCTGTGCTTACAGCTGTTTCCTCTGGACACGTTTCCGGGGGGTCGCAGAGGGCACGTGTGGGAGCCCCTGGTCTGGAAGCCTCCAAGAGGCCCCGCTTCCCTCGCACACTATGGCCTCTCCCACCCAGGACCCCGCTCATCTGCAGATTGAGGCAAGCCAGGGCCTCCCATCCTCCGGAACTCGCCGCACTGGCCCTGGCTGCTGCCAGGGGCTCGTGTTGGCCACTGGGGAGGCCAGGGAGGCCCTGCCTTGCCAGGGCTTGGGCCTTCTTGCCCCACGGATGCGCTTGCTCGGCTCAGGGTGGGGGCTTTTGGACCAAGGTCAGCCCCAGCTGCCCTAGGGCTGCTGGAGTGTGCGTGTGGGAGCAGCTGCAGGCTGCCTAGGTCCTCCCCGCCGTCCCACTGGGAGTCTGAGCTCTCAGAGGAGGCTTAGGCCGCTGGGCAGTGTCACTGACTGGGCAGCTGCTATAGCCCCTCTGCTCCCAGTTCCTTTGAACCTGGGGCTTTGTCCTATTGTTGGGGTGAGGAGTCATGGGTGTGGGGCGGGCTCCCTTGAGCCCCTCTGAATATCAGCCCCCAGTTTCACCCTGGTTCTCTAGTAGTAGTTCACAGTTGTTTGTCCAGGCATAACGTGGACCTGCGTCACCTGCTGTGCCACTGACCAGATTCATTTCAGAGGTACAGTCTGCTCAGGATTGGTCAATCGCACACATGTTGAACGTCATCCTTTCATCTGAATCGGGGTGCCGTGGGTTAGTTCTGAGGGGTTTCTGACTAAGTACATTTTGTAACTTCAACTAATTTTGACAGAAAAACTAGTTTGGCCTTCCTGACCCTCCTCGCGCCTGCGGGACATGTCTTTAGAGCCTGGGCCGTGTCACCGGGCTGCAGCAACAGGGATGGCTTGGCTGTTTGCATATGCAGAGGGTGCAGGCTGGGGGCTTGGTGGTGGGTCAGGGGACTCCCCAGACAGTGAGGAGCAGAACAGATGGATCCCCTGAAGCGCACTGCGGAAGGGGTCTGCCGCCCTGGGGTCATTCCCTGCCGGGATGGACTCAGGTTCACCATACTTTGACCGGGTGCACCCCCAAGGGAGGCCTGGGGTGAGGGCTTTAGCAAACTCTTGTTTTTACCGACTTTATTGGGGTTGAATCTTGTCATCTGTGTCCTTCCTATTCTGAGAAGATATTACACGCCATCTTAGTCAAAATGGGGCAATTGACAGGCCTTCGCCTGTGTGTGGAGCCTTCCTGTCTCCTGTGGATCGCTCCGTCTTGCTTGTTTCTGGTCTGTTCCCAGCAGGCTGCACAATGGCCTCTGGGGGCCGGACTCCTCTCTGCCCCCCGCGGATGCTGAGACCCATGCTCAGCCATCCTCTGCGGGAAGGCGCCCACCCGAGTCTCCCCCATGAGATCTGTCCATCTGGAAACGCCTTCCGCACCATGTGCTGCTCCAGGCCTGCAGTTGGGGCGGCCACTGCTCCTGTCCGCTCGGAAGCACTGTGGCGTGGGTCAGCAGTGGGCTGACCCTCCTGGGACTCTGCTCTTTTCAGGCTGCTCTGTCTGGTTTTCTGCCGTTGACCGGACTGTGTGCAGGCCTGGACTGCTATTTGCTCTGCAAGTAAAACCCTTATATTGTTTTCTGAAACTATGGGAAGAAGCTTGACTCTGTCACTTTCCTATCTAGATATTTGAACCTTTCCTTCCTGCTGCAATCTGGATACTTTTTTTCTCATGTGTCTTCCATGTCATCCATTATTCTGCAGTGTCCACTCTGATACTACATCTGTCCAGGTATTTACTTGATGTTGATTTACTTGTGCACACAGGAACTAGGGTGAGGCCAGAGGCGCGGGGTGAGAGGATGCCCCAGAGACAGCGGGGAGCAGGACAGGCGGATCCACCAAGATGCACTGCTGAGAGGCAGCGGGGAGACAGGAGTCTGCTGGCCATGGGGTCACTCCCTGGCCAGGGATGGACTCGGGTTGCAGTGGCCGCCGACAGCTTGTTCCCGCTGAGACTTACTCCCACCCCAGCAGGGAGGACCCAGTCATCACGTTCGTTCTCTTGGCAGAGGTGCTTTCTGGGGTCCACCTTACGTTCTGTCCCTGCCATAGCCACTGTTTGTAATCCCCTGGCTCTTGCGTGCACACAGTGCTTCCCGAGCTGTGTCTCGGGTTCCTGACGCCCGGGCAGGACGGCGCTGTATGCTCACTGCCGCCGCCTCTTCACTCATGGTGCCTTGGTCCAAGTCTCTTGGCCTTGTACTGTGTGCTGCCTTGAGAAGCAAGTTTGCAGCTCCTGAGGCCAAAAGGAAGCTACCTTCTCCTGGGGCTTCTTGCCACCAGTTGGGCCTCACAGGCTCCTCGGGTGTGGCAGTGGCCTACTTGGGGGTGGGACCCGGCCCCTGCTCTGCCCAGCGCCAAGGTAGAGCTGGGTTTGTAAGGGCGGGAGGGAGGGCGAGGGCAGACTCTGGGCTCCACCGACCGCGGCCACAGTCCTGAGCACGGCTTCTGTCAGGACACCCTGTGGCCCGGTGTTGGTCTGGCGGTGCGCCGTCTCCAGTGTGGCTGGGTGGTGTGCAGCCAAGGCGCCTGCCGCCAACTCTCACCTCCGCCTAGGGGTCAGCCTGGGCATCCCGTGCTGGTCTTGGGCGCCTCTGTGAGCTTTAGACAGAAGTGCAGCAGCACTGAGCAAAGCTTTTATTTCAGAAGAAGCGAGCGGGCAGTATGGGCTTCCCGCCCCTGTAGCAGGGGGAGCTCGTGTGTAAGCCAATGGGGCTCAGGCGGCCCAGCGGCCTTCTCGGCTGTGACGGCCTGACTCAGCTACGGGCAGTGTTGGAAGTGAGACCACAGGGGACAGCTGGTCCTCCTTGTGCTCCCAATATGATGTCACCTGCCTCAGGTGTGCCTGCCAGGCTCTGCTTTCCTCATCACGGGGCACACTGGAAAGAGCCACTGTGCAGCCCCACTGAGAGTGAGGTGCTCACCCTCTGCGGTGTGAGCCTACAGGTTCCAGGTCGTGCAGACTCAGCTCGCTCTCCAGTGCTACCGACACGGCTGGGGTGTGCCCATTGTCTTCACTCTGCTTCATTTGGCCAGTGATGCCCACGGCACCGGACTGCAGACGGAAGCTAGGTACAAGCCGGCCGTGCGGCTCGCAGCCTCCCGTCCCATGCTGGCGTCAGCCTCTGACACAATGGCTGGGAAGCTGCTGGGCCAGACTTGTGCCGCAGTGCGACGCCCCAAGGCTGCCACCTCTGCTACCTTCTGGGAGAACGTTCTCGTCTGCCTTGCTGCTGGCTATGGTAGGCCTCAAGTGGACGGACCCCCACGTCGCTGTTGCTGATCTTTGCTTCCTCCCACCGACTCTTCCTTTATGTTTTGGAGGACAAGAAAGACACTGCATAGCCGGAGGTGGCAGGGAGGAGCACACCTCGCAGCCTGGCTCTACCAAAGTCCCTGGGACGTAGGCAAAGGTGGATGAGGACTCCTGTGAGGTACGAGGTCACACCTACCTGGCCCCATCTCCCGCCCTCAGAGCACTGGGTCAGCTGATGGGCACAGAATGGTGCGTTTCTGTGGCTTTAATATGCAGGTGAAACGAAGCAGGTTTTAGCCTAAGTGCTCACATTTCTTTCTGCGAGGGTGTTTTAGTCAGCTTTCTGAGACCAATAGCCCACAAAGGAGTGACCCAGCTTTCTCCAACTGCAGGTGTGGTGTATCTTCTGCATGGAGTGGACACTCGCCCTGGACAGATGTTTCAGAACAAGCTCGCTCTCTAGGACCTACTTCTCGCGGAGCACCAGCTGGTGAGTGCAACTCAGAATCACCCGAGTACCCTGACTCATGTAGGGAATTTAGAAAAGGGAAAAAGCTGATTCACCCAAGCCCTTCCCTGGAGACAGGCACAAGAGAATCCTCAGAGGTAAAACTTTCAGGTCCCTTCCCGCATGTGTCCATGACACAGTGCAGAGCACTTCACAGCGGCAGGGAGCTTTCCCTGTCACCGCGAAGGCAGCGGCTCGTACCAGAGGCTAGGCGCTCCCCCAGGACACACCCACGCCCCCTTCTCCACTCGGAAGTGCTAGATCAGCCGTGGGCTCAGGAGACTGCGCGCTGCACACCCCCAGACAGCAATACCACACGCAACTCAGAATCGATTTATTCACCCGAACTGCGTCTGCAGGTTGTGGCGGCCGAGGGAACAGCTGACCACGTACAGTCCAGAGTCAAACATGCGCTGCGGTACTGACATTTAGCACTTTATTGAGATACGCATCACAATATCCGTATTGCACCAACATCTGTCTACTGCTTCTGATTTCATTAAATAAGTTACATTGAATACAGTGCAAAATAGCTGTTTGCACACTCAAAATACAACGGTATGAACTGGAGGCCTACGGTAGCCAGAAACACCTGCAGTGTTCCTGTTCAATTTATAAATAAGCAAACTGTACAGGGCCAATTAAAAAGTAGCACTTGTAACGGACAGTGTAGAGAGCTGGCTGCTGCTGTAGAAGGCATGCACTACAGCTGAGCAGCGAACATTGGCTAAGCCAGGACATTTGCAGAGAAACACGAGCTTGGCTGAGGCTATTCTAAGAAACCAACTTCTCTGGACAGGTTTCTGATGGATTCAGCTAAATTGTTCATTTGTAACTTTGATTTAAAAGCTAAAACCCCACTGGCAATACATGTTTCCTCCACATGACACACAAGGAGTTGGGGACTTTTTTTCTACTTTTCTGTTCCCCCGACCTCTTATCATGCAGAGGGCTGCAGATGTTTGCTAACAATGCACATGCACGCAACCGAACACCCTTACATTTCTGCAAAATGTTTAGGAAGCGGTTACTCCAGTATTGCTGAAAAGGAAAGAGAGAGGAAATCAGCTTTATGAAATACAGGGAGGAAATGTTAGTTGCTAAGACGAACAGTGACAGGTGAAAGGAGCTTTTCAGACTTCAAGGCCAGCCATCACTGGGGCGGCACCCAGACGTGCTGGCCGAGACTGGCCCTCGGGGAGCCCCAGCCACCAGGCAAACGGAGGGGACAGTGCAGGTGAGGACACAGGCGTGAGCAGTGTGGCAGTTAGCAAAAGACCCTTCCGGCTCGGCTCGCTAGAGCACTGCCACCCACCCCCGTCCTTTCCTGGGGTACAGCCCTGCTCTCCCCTGCAAGGGGAGCTGCGGCCTGCAGTCCAGGGTGTAGACAGACCTTGGCCATTTACTGCCAGGTGGTGGTTTGCAGGACACGGCAGCCAAGGGCCGCACTGCACAGCAGGTCAGACCCAACCTACGGCTGTGGTCTGCCCGGCACTTGGGGCTGATGTGGCAGCAGCTGCTCATGAGGCAGGCTGACAGCTGCCCTGATGGCCCCCTGCGGCTGGGCTGCTAGAGCGCGCCACCTCCAGGCCTGAGGTGAAGCTCTGCCCAAGGCTGCAAGGCCCAAAGCAGAGCCCTGTCCACCCTCGGCAGACAAATGAGGTCCAGTCTTCAGTGAGCGGCGCCGCTACTGCCTTGACAGAGGTGGCCACCCCTCCAGGACGCCCACTGCCACACAGAGCTGAGGACGGATGGTGGCTGCATTTTTGGCCGGCCAAGCCTGCAGTGGCAGGAGGTAAGTGGGCCTTCCTCATATGAGCTGGACAGGCCTAAAGCTGAAGCCCATGGGTGACCACGGGTCTAGGGCCACCCCAGGATGTTTGGTTTCCACCCACCAGTGCCCTGCTCAGCAAACTCAACATCGTGTTTGCCAAGATACTTTCCTTGCACAAAGTCCACTCGCCTCCTGCGCTCCCTGCTACTCCAACAAGCTGGCCAGGCTGTCTCCACTTTGGCTCAGGCCTCAGACCCCTGCACTTGAGCAGCGTCTGGCCTGCTCGATGCCCAAACCCCGCACTTTTGGCCCCGTCACCAGGTACAGGAGGGAACACACTGTGCCCCCCAGTAACTCTGGCCACACGGTACACAGAGAACGCGCTGCCCCAGGAGGGGAAGTGCTCCCCCCACCCCCGCAGGTGTTTGCTTTTCGTTGGACAGGCAGCAGAGCTGTCCGGCAATCAACAGATCAAAACAAAGCACACCGATTTCTGCAAGCCCTGGTGCCGCTGCCACAGGTAAGCTCCTTCCACCACACAGCTCACTTGTCCCAAGGCCGCCTGCCCCTGCCCAGGTGGCCAGCACGCACACCCACCCGTTAGTTACCTCACAGCCAGCTCAGCTGCCACCCGCCCGTCAGCTCTGGGGCCAAGCAGTCCTGACCCGGGGAGGAGGAGGGTACTCACGTTAGTGGATGGATGTTGGAAGGCAGTGGAGAGAAACACCGTGGTTAGACTGTTAAGACGGACACGGTTGCTGAGCTGAGACATGCGCAGACATGGGCGTAGTGACGCCAGGGCCGCGTGGTTAGTACCACATTCAAATAAAAATAGTTCTATACATTATGTTCATTTGGTCATGTTCTATTTACAGATTTTACAAAACACACGCACGCACACACTCGCCCTTGTATCCTCTACGCCAGGCTACAGTGGGTCAGCTGAAACGACCCTGCAGCAGACCGGGCCTTCCCCCCTTGAGCACAGCACGAGGAACTGAACGTGTCTGTTGGTTTGCAGCTAAGCCAAAGACCGCTTTTCTGTCCATTTAAAATGTTTTATTTCTCTTTTTTGAACTAGGTTGTGACTTGCCACTTAATAGGCAATGTCGGCAAACTACGTCCGCTATATAGTAAAACACAGAAGGCATTGAAATAAATAACCTTGAAACGACTGGCGGGGACGTGATCTCTGGTGAGTCTGCAGCCATGTTTCTGCACAAGCGAGAACAGGCAAACCTCGCAGCGACCATGTAAACAGAACCAGACCTGCGGGGAGCAGCAAGCGGAGCTGGGTGTGTGTGGAGGGGGTGGGGGTGGGGTGAGGGCGGCAAACCAAAAAATACTGACTGAGGTAGCAGGACTCTGCTCAGTGCAGAAAAATTGGCTTCTGAATAAAAATTAGACTGTGCTCTCAGATTAAATCCAGATGACCATGCAGAAGACAGTGCATGCGCTTTAGGTCTAGAGAATCCACATTCGCTTCCTAACGTCTGCTGCCAAGTGATGTGCGACACTGTCTGCTGGCTCAACTATCTTTAATACAAGGATGAGTATTCAACAGAACACTGTACATGCTTTTTCATCTACAAAAAAATATCTGCATAAAATAGTGTTAGTTCTCTGTACATGTCAATGGACACTTCGATTATGTGTATAAAAAAGGAAACTCGCCCCGCTGGAGTCAGAAAAAGCAAAACAAAATCTAGAGTATGAAACCGCCTTCACCAGCCAGTATGTTCAGTGAAATTCAGCAGAAATAGACAGTTGCTTTAAACAATAAAAAATTAATTGATTAAGTTAAACATCTTTATGTAAAACGTCAGTCAAGACCAGAACATGTCGCTGAAGTTAGTGTCGGTGCTATACACCCAGGCCACCAGCGGCAGCACGAGCAGCACGAAGGGCCAGGAGACCCCGTCGGCGCAGGCCGTGAGCGGGCCGGGCCGCACACACTCTTTACCAGGCTCCAGGTACTTGCGGGCCACGAACTTGAGGGTCTCATCCATCAGGATCACGGGCAGGGAGATCTTGAGCACCATCAGCCACTGGGTCAGGTTCAGCGGTGTGATCTGGAAGATGAGCTGCACGCGAGCAGCTGTCAGGGCCGGGGCTGGTGGGGTGTGGGGTGCACCAGCACCTGGCCTGCCCACTTACCGGCAGAGGCTCCACGTAGAGGATGAGGAAGTGGAGCGACATGGACAAGCAGATGGAGCCCACGAGCCAGCCGTTCTCCCACGGGGGCATCCGCAGCAGGGACTGGTTCTCAGACAGGCTGCAGGCAGGGCAGGGCCGTGAGGTGCCGCTCAACAAGCTGGGGCCTGTCCCTGTGGGACCACCTGCCAACTACTGGGGGCGGTTCTGCCCGGCAGTGGGACCTCAGAGGCCCCCTTCTGCAACCCCCGCAACCCTGCTCCCGCCAGCTGCACTGACCTGTTGAGGGCATTGCACATCTCTATGGTCACGAGCACAGACAGCGCCATCGTCATGGGGTACGGGGACTCAAAGACTGCGCAATCCACGCCCTCGAAGTCGGGGTTGTCCTCTTTACACTGCAGGAAGTGACTCTGCAACAAGACAGTCATGTCCTTTCCGGCCCAGCACAGAGCCACGCGTCACGTGCTGCATGCAGAGGCGCCAGAGGCAGCCACCTACCAGCTGGTAGAAGGACACCCGCGGGCCACCGTCGGCTGCAATGAACCACCACGCAGCAGCGCCCACAGTAGCAGCACCGACATAACCTGGAACAGAATGTGACCGTGACGTGGGGGCTGGGCCTGGGCTGGTTCTCAGGAGGGAAGGACGTGGCCATTGGCAGCAAGGTGCATGTGTCAGGCAGCATGGCCAGGCCCACAGGGTCCTGTGTCCAGGCTGGCTCGGCATGCCTGTGGCTGGGCACCTACTCACGCAGCAGCATGGTAGGCGGGAGCCCGCAGGGGACATGTGGCCTGGATAGCAGTTGGGGGTGAGAGGCCAGCTTGACACGTGGTCAGTGGGGCACTAGGATAGTCGCTCTCGCCCAGCCAGCTGAGGGCAGGCTTGACCGTCACCCTGACAGACGGGTGGAGACACGTGCCTCTGAGGAGCAGACTATGGGGTCTCGGGCATTTCCTCTGCAAACCAACTTGAGAAAACTCACAGCCAATTGCCAGGTAGCGGAAGAAGAGCCACCCGCTGATGAGGGGCTCCTTGGGGTTCCGGGGCGGCTTGTTCATGATGTCAAGATCCGGCGGGTTGAAGCCCAGCGCAGTGGCAGGCAGGCCGTCCGTCACCAGATTGACCCAGAGCAGCTGCACGGGAATCAGAGCCTCAGGGAACCCGAGGGCTGCCGTCAGGAAAATGCTATTGGCACCCAGGGAGAGGAGAGACGAGAGACTCCACGTCAGCCGTGGCCACATGTAAGCGCCAACCACCCGCTGGGACTGTCCACAGTCGCTGCAGCCCGAGTCCACCCTGGCCAGGGAGTGGCCCCATGGGTAGCAGACGCCCCCGTCCCCCGCTACCCCCTCAGAGTAATCCATCGGTCTGCTGTTCTGCTCCCCACCCTCTCTGGGGCCCTTCAGTCCCCAGCAGCTCTGGCCTGCACCCAGCTCTCTCACAAACAAGATCTTCAAATAGCATCAGCCCCGCAGACAACGGCCGTCCACAATAACCCTGGAGGTTCCACCCAGAAAACATCACATCAAGCTTCAAATCCATTTTGAGGGTGACAAAAAGTTAATGTGCGCGTCAACCTGAACTCGCTCTGTTGAGCGTGGTGCGGCCCACTGCCCACCTAGGCCCTCACTCTCCCACTGTGCACCTGGCCTGCAGCACTGGCCAGGACAGAGCCCCGCGTTGGGGGCACGACACCTACCACACGACCTCCCCCACGTTGGAGGAGATGAGGTAGCGGATGAACTGCTTCATGTTGTTGTAGATGGCGCGCCCCTCCTCCACAGCCGCCACGATGGTGGAGAAGTTGTCGTCAGCCAGCACCATCTCGGACGCCGTCTTGGCCACAGCTGTGCCAGAGCCCATGGCGATGCCAATCTCGGCCTTCTTCAGGGCTGGGGCGTCATTAACCCCGTCCCCGGTCTACAAGGGAACGCGCTGGTTCGCTCACCCCCACTGCAGTGGTCACATGCTCAGCGCCATGCGGGTTTCCCCAGACACACAGGAGCCTCCAGAGAGGAGGCAGAGAGGGACACCGAGGAGCCCGCACAGCCCAACCCCCCCACCCCAAATGAGCCACCACAACGGGTGCGAGACCAAGCACTGACATCCACGCCAACGTCACGACCAAGCGGCTTGGCACAGGAGACACGCAGCCGCCACTTGCCCCTGACAACGTGCAGCGCCACCGCCCACAGACACACAGCTGCCCTGGCTGTGAGCCTGCTTGTCGTGGACTTGCCTCACTGGGCCCTCGGGGAGACAGACACTGAAAGGCGTGAGAACTGTACACGCCACAAAAGGGAAACAGGCCCGTCCGTCTGCAGGAGTCCTGAAGGGAACAGCACTGAGGGCAGCCAGCTCGGAACCAACATGCTCTAGTGCGTTTAATTTCAGCTGAGAATTACCCAGAGACTGGAGAGCCCCTGGTGGCAGCCTATGATAAAGTCTCAAGCTGTCACGGAGATGGCCGGAGTCTGAGCCCCTCCTGCCGGGGACTGACCCCATAGGCAGCAGACCCTGTCTTCCAGCTGCCCCCTCAGCAGTGTGTTTCGGTCCATCTGCCTGACTCTGGGGTGTCCGCTCACCCACCCCTCTGGCCTGCACCCCAGTTCTCAAATGCATAGAGGACCTGTTACCAGTCCTACTTAACCGCATCTCGGCAGATCTGAGACACAGGACATACGTTTAACCAAGACAAAAACAGACACCAACCATTCCCAAGGGTCTATGGGCGCTTGACCAGGCCCTCCCTGGCTGCGCAGCAGCCCACGTACACCCAGCACAGCGCCAGAGACCGCCGGCCAGCGCCAAACCCAGGGCCACTAGGACTCGGTCAAGGCTGCAGCCTGCTTGGCAGCTCACCATGGCCGTGATCTCATCGAAGGACTGCAGGAACTCCACAATCTTGGACTTGTGTGAGGGCTCCACGCGCGCGAAGCAGCGGGCGTTCAGGCAGGCGTCCCGCTGTGCAGCGGGGCTGAGCTCATCAAACTCCCGGCCCGTGAAGGCCTTCGATGCCACGTCCTCATCCTGCCCGAAGATGCCGATGCGGCGGCAGATGGCCACGGCGGTGCCCTTGTTGTCCCCCGTGATCATGATGACCCGGATGCCCGCCTGGCGGCACAGCTTCACGGACGAGGCCACTTCAATTCGCGGGGGGTCCAGCATGCCCACGCAGCCCACGAAGGTCAGGTTGGTCTACGGCAGAAGCACCCCCCCACTCGGGTTACAACGGGGAGTGCTGGCTTCGGGCCTAGTGTGGCCAGGTGCAAGTGGGAGCCGGCACCCCCATTTCCCTGTGATAAAGCCTGTGAGTCTGACGCCGAGGTCGCAGTGTTCACCCTGCGGACCCCATTGTCCGGACACAGCGACCTGACTCCAGCGGTATGATGGCATCGCCGCACCCTGCTCGCGCCGTGTGCACTGGGGGGTGAACAGATGGGGGGTGAACAGACAGCTGTGGTGCAGCACCCGCCGAGGGTGCCCCACATAGACTTGACCCCCATCGCGGGCCTCAGACAACCGCGCAGCCTCTCTGACCGGGTCGTCCTCAACTTCAACGACACGTTTTTAAGAACAGTGCCGACCTATGCAGGTCTTGGTTTACACGAGAGCGGCAGAGTCCGTTTCACTGGTTTAGATGGTCCCAAGACTGACAGACCTGTATGAAGCTGCGACTGGCCACACTGCTCCCTTGGCGAGAGCGGGGCGCGGCTCGCTCACCTCGTATTTGATGAAGTTGGCCGAGTCCTCCAGGTTCATCTCCTCTCTCCTCAGGGGGCTGTCGTGGGTGGCCAGGGCCAGGCATCGCAGTGTGTCGCTGCCACTACCCCACTCCCGGATGACAGACATGATCTTCTGCTTGACCCCCGGGGTCAGTGCGACTTTAGTGCTCCCGACCCGAACATGGGTGCAGCGGTCGATGACGCCTTCTGGGGCGCCCTGGAGGGTCAGGTTTGGATCAGGCACTTACAGGCTGCCCGGACCTAGCCTGTGACAAGCCCCTCAGCAGCGGCCAGCGCACCCACCTTCACAAACATCTTGCTCATTGCCGTCCGGCTGGGCTTGTTTGGGGTGCAGTAGACCGACATCGACTTTCTGTCCCGCGAAAACTCCAGGGTAAACTCTTTCTTCATCAACTGTTTAATCACCTAGAAAGAGAACACAGGATGAGCCACCATGGACGACGGCTTCTGTGCAGGGGACTGAGAGCACAAGCAGCTCGGGACCCCACGGCCCTGCCCCGCTTGGCCTCGCAGCCAGATGGCCACACTTCAGCCGATCTGGACTGAAGGCTCAGTCAGGGCTCGGGCAAGGCCGTGGCCTGGAGGCCGGCAGCAGGCACAGCGGCACAGGCAGCCTAGCACTGACCGAGTTGCAGGCGTTGGCGCGTTCAATCTTGGAGAGCCCCTTCAGCTCCGTGTCAAACACGTTCATCTTCTCCACCAGGCACGTGAGCGCGGTCTCAGTCGCCTCCCCGACTTTCTCATACACACCTTTAGCCTAGTGGGTGGGAGAGTGTCAAGAGGGAGGGCAGCCTCGAGCAAATCTCCCACAACACTCTCCCACGAGGACAGTCCGTCCTCTCCTGTGTCCACTCTCCTGTGGTCAGCTTTATCCCATTCTGGAGCGCAAGACCCAGGTAACTCAAAATATACTCAAAGCACAGGGCTGTGTTTTACTCTGAGACAGGCCTGCCAACTTGCCTCGATTAGGAGAGGCCACTAACCACAGCACTGACGCAAGCAGCTTTCAGCAGGACCTGAACTTTTAAAGTGATCACACCGTTTCTGATGGGGACTGGTTTGCCTCTGAGCTAGGAAACTAATTCCTTACAATTAAAAAGGGAACATGAAGTGTGTCTGAGTTTATCTTTCTAGAAGGTGGTCGTCATCACAACCCCTATGTCTCACCCTCAGCTGTCCTCAAAGGCATAACATTACCCAACTTAAAAGAGCAAAATCTGGCCCTCCCTGGTGGCGCAGCGGGTTAAAGCACAGCACTGAGAAGCTAAAGCCACTTCCACGTGAGTTCGATCCCCACCTGCCCGGAGGTGACCACATGGCGTGGCAGACCTCTCCTGACCCACCCGCTGCTCCCCACTCTGTCCATGGTAAATCCCCCAGTTCTGTATGGCCTGAACCCAATTCTGTATGAATAAATAAATCTTTAACAACAACAAAAAAGAGCAAAATTTGTACTCCACAATTTCAGCAAATGTTTGGTGCTGGGTTTGTGTGTGTCCCCGGTCACCCGCTGTGCACGCTGTTCTCTGTGAGGTCGGCGCAGCGCTCAGCCAGGTGGTTGCTGGGGTGGTCATGCAGAGCCACCCCAGGCCCACAGGCCCCAGGGAGAGAGGAGTCTAAGCCCGGAAACCTGGCCCGCCCCGCCCCAGAGGCCTCACCTCGTTGTAGTCCAGAGCAGAGTCATTACAAAGAGCACAGATGGTAGCCAACTCCACCAGGCCATCGTACTGATGGCACTTCACCGGCTTGTCGTCTTTATGCCTGTCAGAAGAAAAGCAGTCTTAGGGCACAGGTCACACCTGTTGACTTTTGAGAATGAGGTGCTACCATCCACGGGGCTCTGGGGTAACAGACGGGCCAAGTGTTCACAGGAGGCTGAGCGGCAGCTGGAGTCTGGTGCAGAGTGACAGAACAGTCTCTGACACCAGCCTCACCGGACAGACCGGGCACTCGAGTTAATGAACTCTGACCAGCACTGTGATCCGTATGGGACAAAACCCCGCCTGAGAACTGGAGCCTCATGTGCACTGGTTTGATAGTGCTGAGACCGCAGAGGGCTGTCGGTGAACTAGGAACTGCAAACTGCAGGAGAAACAGCCGGAAGAAAAGGCTCAGGACACACAATGACCTGGGCCGGCCTGTGATAACGTCTGCTGTCTTCAATTCCCATTCAGAAAAGGCTACTAGTTTTCGAAATTTAAACAGACGAAAAAGTTACAAAAGCAAAAATAATTTTTGCTTTCAACTGGAAGCCAAAGGAGAAGTCACTAGCTGAGGCCCTGTTTGCTCTAACACTGGATCACATGGACCAGAAACACGTCGCTCTTCAGAGCCGCCGGCAGAAAGCCACAAAAGGCCGGGGCACCACCGGCCTCTCCCCGGCAGGAGGGACCACGTACACGTCTCCAGTTGGTGCGTAAGTCGATCCGGTTATGGTGAACTCGTTAAGGGAACAAGTGTCCCCGTCGACCTTGTCCAGAATGAACATCTGCAGGGAACAGGAAGGAGCGTTACGATGCGCGTATACAGCAGGAAGGGAAAGCCTGTCTCCCCATCTAACTAACCACTCGAAGAAGCACAGCATCAAAGATCAGCTGGACATCTTCCCACTAGATGCTACCATCCTGACTGGCCACCCTCAGGGAGGCGCGGGGCACGGGAAACGAGGACACCCCGTTAGACCGAGTCACGACAGCTCCGGGTCAGAGGACTGGCAGTCTTCTGCGGGTACGCAGAACCCGGGGTCTAGGGCGGCTGGCTGAGCAGTGACAGGCCCCGTCTCAGAGCTAAGTCACGTCCAGGAAAACCCAGCTGACACCCCGTAGCTCCGGAAACACCCCTGGTCACCCCAGGTGGCTCCTCTCTGCTCCCTCTCCTGGGGGGGAGGGGAGGGGCAGCGGCATGCCAAGCCCTGCCCCCCAGGTGCCCCTCCCCCCACGGGGAGAACCCCGCCTCTCGGAACAGCCACATGAGGCAGCTCTCACGAGGAGACATTTCTTGGTTTGCTTTCCAGCTACAATTCAGAGCCCTGGCTTGTAAGTCTTAGGATTTTGATTTGTGTTTTTATTGCAAATCAAAACTTTTGTAGAAACCTTCCTAAAAGGTTAACCATCTCGACATCTCCGAGGAATGCCAAGCAATTCAGATGGTGGCCAGGGACCTCCCTGGTGATGTGGCAGGTTACAGCTCAGCACTACGAAGCCGCTTCAGCCTGAGTCCATCCCTGGCCAAAGAGTGACCACAAGGCCCAGCAGAACTCTCCCATCTCCCCTTGGCAGTGGGTTCTGGGGGACCTGCCTGTCCTGCTCCCAACTCTCTCTCTGAGGCATCCTCTCACCCCCACACCTCTGGCCTATACCCCAGTTCTGTGTACATCAATAAACAAGGTGACCACACTGTGGCCCACCAGGACTGTAAGAATGTTCGATTCAAGTAGACAGAGTCCTCTACTGCTTTCAAAGCCTCTTTCTGGAGCGTTTCAACTCAGTCTCCAAGGAAATCGGCTCATCTGTACTTTGCAATGCCTTCTCGGGGTCGCAGGACTTGCTACATGTAGCACTTGAATTTCCAAACTCTTTATTTCAAAAGTATGCCCAGAACTAGAGCAGCCTCGGCACTTTAAATAAAATGCACGAGGAGGCTGAAGCGTGGTCGCACCCGACAGGGTTCCAGCGTGACACCAGGAGGGCTTGCGCCCGGTCACAGCAGCGAGTTCACCGGCTCCCTCCTGCTTCCTGACAGACACAGAATAAATGGTGAGGCCGAGGGACACGCTCCCTGTGACACAAGCACTACATGGAAGCGCCAGGGCCAGGTGCACCCACTGTGCGTCCCCGAAGAAGTCCAAGCTCGCCTCTTACAAAAGTTGTGCACTGCTGCCGCGCGTGGCTGGTGGCAGAGCCGCCATGTGCCACGTGCCACAGAGCGGGACCACAAAGGCGTCAAAGCTCGTGCGCGAGACGCCAGCTGCCCTTCCAAGCTTCGATGACACTTCACAAGGGGGAAACTCCTGGGGGCTGCGCCGAGGTCCAGGCCCCAGACACCTAAACCGGCACTCGGCGCCTCACGGACTCGCAGACGGGTGACTACTGGGGGCGGGGAGAACCTCTGGGTGGCCGGCGGGGTCTAACCCACCGCACCACTGCAGGAGCCACCACACAGGGCCGACTGGCAGCAACTGCCACTGGGGTAGCACAGAACAGGAGGACGCTGCTTCCTTACAGAAGGAGACACTGAAGTCAAGCTGGGGAGCACACAGGAACCAGAACAGTTTCACCAGCCTAATACTGGAGCAGAATTCCGCAACAGTTTCCTCAGGTAACAGGGCAGGTCATGCGGAACCGGGCTCAAAGCCCAGCTTGCACTCCAGATTCGGCTAACCACTCTAACCTGCCTGCCCGGGAAGCAGCAGGCCACAGCTCAGCCCCAGCGCACGTGCGGAGACCCCAGAAACCAGAGCCGGCGGCAGGGACACAGACACCCGCGGGGCAGAGCTGTGAGCACTGTGTCTTGACCATGACAGTGCCCTGTGCTTCAGGACCAGATTTCTCCCACCAGCGCGACTGCTACATCGTATATGCTGCGCTGGTGAGCGGGGAGACGGGCGCAGTCACCTACGCGTGCGGCCAGCCTGTGGCTGCTTCCCAGGGCGAGTCCCAGAAATGATTCAGGAACGAAAGGATTCCTCTGCCATGCGAGAAACTGTGCGACTCGCACCCGGGCCGGCGCTCACCCTGCAGACGGACATCTGGTTCGTGGTCAGCGTGCCCGTCTTATCCGAACAGATGACAGATGTACAGCCGAGCGTTTCCACGGACGGCAAGCTTCGAACAATGGCGTTCTTCTTTGCCATCCTGCGCGTGCCGAGAGCCAGGCAGGTGGTGATGACGGCAGGCAGGCCTTCGGGAATGGCCGCCACCGCCAGGGCCACCGCGATCTTGAAGTAGTAGATGGCGCCCCTGATCCAGGAGCCTCCGTGAACCGGGTCATTGAAGTGGCCGATGTTTATGATCCAGACAGCGATGCAGATCAGGGAGATGACCTTGGAGAGCTGCTCCCCAAACTCGTCCAGCTTCTGCTGCAGGGGCGTCCTCTCCTGCTCTGTGGCCACCATCTCGTCCCGGATCTTGCCGATTTCGGTGTTGACGCCAGTGGCCACCACCACTCCCATAGCCTTTCCAGCCGCAATGTTTGTGCCCTGGGGTAGAGAGAGCTGTTACCAGGCGGCACGAGGCCCGCGCCAATAGGCGCAGACTCCCTGGGACCCGTCCCCTCAGTCCTGCCTGCGGCTTCTCTCTGGACTACCAACCCGACCACCTGATCTCTCCCAGTCGAGGGGCGCTTGCTCTGCCCAGACCTGCCCAGAGCCCCTTTCCCAACACTGAGCCTGGCTTGCGGACGAACCTTGGGCTGAGCATGGCTGCAGCCTGTGTTCCCAGTGTTTCCAAAGGCACACAGCCCTGAACTCCAAGCGCTCCCTAGCTCCAGCCCCCGAGACCCCCCCCCACCCAACACACACCCCTTCTCTCTCCTCCCCCACATCTGGAATAAGAATGAGCCGTCGTGGACCACAAGTCCCCAAGTCAAGCACTCAAAACTCAATGAAACCAACTTGCAAGCTCTCCAGCCCTCCCAGCGCCCGAACTTCACTTCTTGGTGGGTTTCACCGTGGACGGTCAGCTCCCATGCTGACCCGAGGCCTGCCACTTGAAAACAAACTAGCTCCAAACAGAAATACATCTGAGGACGAGCTTACGGAAAAGAGCATGTTCTTCTTATCCTGGTTGACAGCGCGTGGGTCAGGGACGGGGTCCGTGTGCTTGATGACGGAGACAGATTCACCTGCACGGTTGGGAGGAGTGGCAGTGAGGGCTGCACGGGGCCCACCAGCCCCGGACGCGCGCCTTCACGCAGGCCGCACCAGGACCGGGACAGAGGCCCGAGTCGCTCAGAGGAGAGGAGCTTGAAAACTTCAGTCACAACCAATTTCAGAGCAAAGAATGTGAAGACTGAATCAATACCGTATCAAAACAGGGGAGCTTAGTTCTTTAATAAAAAGCCAATTACCTTTGCGCTCTAGAGTAAGTTACTCAACTTATTTCCAGGGTCATTTTAGCTTTAATAGCCTGAACACGTTTCTCACATATCTGTCGAATACTGCTGTGCACGCACACGCCAGCGGTGTAGCGGGCAGATGTCACCACCCACGAACGGGCATCTGCTGAGAAGCCTGTTTGCACAGTAACACCAAGATGGGCGACCGAGCTTTAGAGGGGCTTGTCTACACTAGCCAGACTCGGTCAAGGAGCAGAACGGAAGCGCAGCAGCTGCACCAAGGCCACACAGCAAGAGAAGTGCTCGCTGCCACTCAACACCACCCTGCTGGCCCTGGCCTTGGCCGTCCATAACCCGCTTGCCAATCACATGGCCGGGGCAAACCCAGCTGACAGGCAACGGGCTGCGGCTGCCAGATCAAATGTCAGGGAACATACTGACTCGAGACCTGGCGACAGAATTTGGGCCTTCAATGGAGCCTGAACCTATGCAGTGTGATCACTGAAAAAGAAATTCAAGAACCTGAACAGTGTACGCGTGATCACCTCTGCAGGCACAACTGAATTCCATCCGCACACCGGCCCAGCCCCTGGCGTTCTAAGCCGCCATCCATTTACGGCTGGCTGCTGTGACGAGGGTAGCTGGGTCTCAGCTGATGCTCCAGAGACACTCCGGGCTCTCCCCCCCCCCCCCCCCTCGGGCTGGTGCTGCTCCAACACGCCCCTCTGGCCGCTGACTTCCCGCCGCACAAGCCCTCCGCCCTAGCTGCGCCTCTGTCAAACACAAGCCAGGAACTACATATGCGAATTGACAGGCAGAACAGTCTCCACGCTGGGGGCGCGCGTGGCTACTCAGCTGCACGCGGGATCATGGCAAAGTGCATCCTAGGAGATTAGCATTCCTCCACTGGAAAAAAACTATAGCTCGGGGCCTGTTTTCCCAGGAAAAGGAACACTAAAGACGACGTTAATTAACTTTCCATCCAAGGGAACATTTGAGACTTAAGATGTTTTCCTGTATTAATGAAGGAATTTGTGACTTTTTAAAAAAGTAAACAACACTGGTGATTTCTTTCAAATCAGAACTAATTTTTGATAAAACAAGAAGCCTTATGATGTGGAGGCTTCGTTTTTCAATGATTCCCGTAAGCCTCATACTGACAACAGATGAACAAGGGACAGAAGCCCAGCGGCTAAAGCACAGAGACAAGCGTCCGGCAGGTGCCGAGGCGGGAGGTCCCCAACGCTCAGTGACGCTTACCTGTGAGGATGGACTGGTCAACCCTCAGCGTTGTGGACTTGATGGACGTCAATCTGATATCGGCAGGAACTTTGTCACCAACTAATTGGGAAGGAAAAATAAAGACCAGTGAGGCAGAGTCCCAACAGCACTGTGCATGAAGGGGGCTCTGCCTGCACACAGGTACGATCTTTAGGGAGACCCATATGCAGGACAGACATCGGGTCGTTTACACGAGAGAAGGCTACTTATCCTCAAGTCACAAAGTCTCTTGTTCGGGTTCACAGTATCGCAAGTAAGAAACAAACTGCTCAAGTGCTCTGTCCTCAGACAGCAGACCCCAAACTGCTCGAGACACGAAGTTTCCAGACCACTAAGTGACCAGCAGCCGTAGATGAGAAAGTGCACACGCCACCACATTCAGAAAGTGATTTTTCCAGTGGCTAGGAAGTCTAGAAATTTTAGTTTGCACCGTATTTAAAAAACAACCCAGAGATAAAGATGACAAGAAGTGGCCGGGCCGGGGGCGCTCAGGGAGATCTCGTCCCATCGCCAAACCCAAGAGCCGGGGAGCATCAGCGCTAGCCTCCTACTGATGCCCCCTGTGCGGGTCTGTGGCGCCCTGGGGAGGGCATCTCTGGGGCACCAGCGAGCACGCCCCGCAGCAACCCCACGTGTGACAGGCGAGGCAGAGGCGGCCGTCAACCTGCGCTCTCTAGAGCCTTCTAAAATCGAATTGCCAAGTAGGTGGAAAAGCCTCCTGTGTAGCCGCCAGGAGATGTTTGAAGCACCCGAGGTCTTTTCCAGGCGAAAGCCCCTAGCAGCCCCTGACAGGGCACCTCAGCTCCTTCCCTGGTGGAGCCCCGGGCCTCACGCAGGGCAGCAGCTAAGGCCTGATGTGAAAAGCAGTGCGACTGCGCAAACCGCGTGACAGATCGCACTTCCACTTGTCTCACGAACCGACTCTCACACTGCACGCAAGGCGGCCAGCCAGGCCGGGGAACACTTCACTGGTGAGGCCTCAGCTCCGTGAGAGCCAGGGAAGGAGGCATCGCCTCCTCAAACCCTTAAGGTCCCGGAAGCGCCGTCCCAGGGGCGCAGGCACTTGGCAACACTGACGCAACAGGCAGCAACATGCAGGCACACGGGCCGGGCTGCTCACCTCAGCGGACTCTGCGCTGCACACGGGGCCCCAATGCTGGGCTCAGGCCTCAACAGCTGCATGGCCCCTTCAGGATGCGCCCAGACAGCAAAGAGTCCGTGCAAGGACGAGGTTCCTCGGAAAACTCCCCGGCCGCCCACAGCGATGCCAGAACCCTGCGGGGAGCCTGCTGTCTGACCAGCGCAGCAGCCTCCAGCACCACACTCCGCACACACACGACACATGCGCTGCCCCCTCCAGCTGAGCCCTGACTCAAGCCGCTCCCAGGTGGGACGTTCCGGGGTGCAGGGGCCTCCCAGGGCGCAGGGTCCAGTCTAGGCCCCATGAGGCTTCACAGCCGCTGCAGCACAAGCTCCATCCTGGCAGGGGAGCGACCATGGGAGCGACCCACAGGCCCCGGCTCCCACGGCCCCCCAGCTGTGTCTCAGAGCCTCGGCTGTTCTGCTCCCCACTCTTCTGTGGGGCGCCCTCTTGATCCCCCTCTGGCCTGTACCCTGTAAACAATTGCACCCTGGACAGCGCCTGCGCCCAGCACCCCAGTAGCAAGTCTAGTGGCGGTGGGGCGGGCTGGCCACTACCTCACTGACCCAGAGGCCCGAAGTCTGGGAAGAGCTGCGTTTCTGGGCCCTCCCTGGTGGCACAGCAGGTTAAAGCTCAGCATTGCAAGCTAACAACAGCCGCTTCAGGGCTGGTTCGATCCCCAGCCCAGGAGGTGACCCATATGGCGTAGCAGACCTCTCCCGACCCACCCGCTGCTCCCCTCAGCAGTGTACTTCGCCGATCTTCCTGTTCTGCTCCCCACTCTGTCTCTGGCAGATCCTCTCACCGCCCCGCACCTCTGGCCTGTACCCCAGTTCTGTGTGCATAAATACATAAATCTTAAAAAAAAAAAAAAAAAAGAGTCACATTTCTGAGGAAACCGACCCAGGTCCACTTCCTTCCCTGGGCAGGAGGGTCAGCACTAAACTGCCCCGCCGCAACTCGCGCCGGTGTGTGCGGAACCAGCTGCCCCCCCAGAGGCCCATAAGGACGTGGAGTTGGTGTCCATATTGCACAGACACCCAGGGAACATGCGTCTAACTGCTGACCACACACAAGCGACTGAAATGCCAAAGGCGTGAGCAGAAGCCCAGGAAACCCTTAAAAGCGACTTCAAGTTCTTCCATTTTCCATCTTCCAACGAGCCATTCTAGTAGGGAGATGTGAAAAATTCCAGAAATCATCAAAAGGCCTCTGGGGGCCGAAGCCAGCGTCTCAGGACCATCCTCAGAATATGGCTCCGCGCACCTGCTGTGGCCGGGATCCTTGACTCTGAGGAGCTCCCCAAATACAGTGGAAGGTCAAGGCCAGGAAAGCCTGAAAGCAGTGAAATAGGGCAAAGATCCTTGGGGGGTTACTGGGGCTGCCACTCCCCTGCGAGGCATGCGGGTGTGGGCCAGACACTCCAAAAGCCCCCCGCCCGGCCTGGCCCTGGCCCAGGCCTTCATTTTAGGGCGCCACTAGAGCTGGGGGGCAGAGGGCCTGCCGGGGCACCTCAGGGAGAACTCACAAACGCTTTTCCTAGCACAACCAGAGTCTCCAGTCGCGGGGCGGGCAGGCAGCTCCCACAGGCCCACCCAGCACAGGGCCCCGGGGCGGCTCCGGGACCTTTTCTCCCTTCTTCTGGGCTCAGGGGGTGTATGACAGAGCAGACTCTTACAGCTACCCCCACTCGTGCTAGACCTGGCACTTCTGAAGCTGAGGTCTCGGCTGTCAGCCCACAGCGCTCGCCAACGCCACCACTCCCGGTGCAACACAGCGACGGTGAGCGGAGGGCGCCCCCCTGTACGGTTTGCGGTGCATACAGCGCTCCTCACCTGGCGGGCAGGGCCAGGGCAGGACGTGAACTCTGACTCTGCATCACGTGTCTGAAGTACGAGAGCTGCCACTGGGCTGAGCCAGCACTGCCCGGACAGGCCTTCTGGTGAGCTAGGGATGTGCAGGGAGAGAAACCCTCGTTTACTGAGGGGCTCCAGAGGGAGCCAAGTCTTTCTGGGAAAAATGCGGAGAGAGGCTAGAAGTCACCCTCTCTCTACACACCGCTCCTGTTTCGGTGTCTTCTAGGAGAAAGCAGGTCACAGAACTGATGAACCTAAATCACGTGAGCACGGAGCTATGACTCAAGCACCTTCGCTGTTTCTATCTGAGCCACAATTTTGTAGTCAGGCAAGATGAAGGAAGATCTTCCCTCAGAGGCCTGACTGCCTACTTGCCTTGGGGTGAACAGGGAAGTGTATGGCGTTCGCCCCCGATCTGCTGGGGAGAGGAGCCGCCGAGGACAAGACGCTGAGGATGCCACTGTCATCGTCACTCCGGTCGCAGCCCCAGTTGCCACTTCTCGGCGCCTCGCCCAAAGCCACCCACTCCTGCCCACGGTGCGGCTCAGCTTCCCTCTTCCCGCGCCCCGCTGCCTCCACATCCTCCTGCCTGTCTCCCCCAACTTCCCGCCAAGGCCGGCCCCACACACCATGTGCTGGAGCAGCACCATCCGGCGGGCGCCACGCAGCAAGCACGGAGAGGGGCCAGGGGTCACGTGTCGGGGAGCGAAGCAGGTGCGCAAGTCAGCTTCTCTGTAAGCTCATAGCGGGCATGGCCAGGCTGAAGGCCGTCAGGCTGGGCGCACGAAGACACCAGGCTCCAGAGACCTCAGACTGGGCTGAAGCCGGCTTACCCACTCCGGCATTAGTGGCAGTGCACCGGCAGCCTCGCGGTGGGGCAGGGACCTATCAGACAGGCTTCGGGCTGCAGCTGGCGGGACAGGCAAGGTGGCCCAACATTTGTCCCTAAGCAGCCAGGCAGAAGCCTCCAGAATACTTACTGACCAGACGCCATCTGATATAACTGCTTTCAAGTCCGGGCACTGAGAAGCACCGAGATGGTCCAGTGTCCCACATAACTCCGCGCGAACAATGCAAGAGCCCAGACCGGCACGGGAAGAGACCTTGGGAAGAACCACACCCGGCCACGGCGGCCCTAGTGCTGCCATGGGCTGCCACATTCTCGTGGCCAAATCACAAAGCCTCGGTTCTTATTTGAGTTCCCATCCGGTTCTAGAGGGGTCTCGACTCCGCTATAAAGTCAGCACCAGAAAGGAAGCAGGCCTTGGCACAGCTCCACAGCACAAAACTGATGTCTCGGCCCTTCAGGGGCATTGTAAAGGAGCTGACAAGGCTGAGGGCCTGGCCCTGGGCGGCCCCAGCAGCACTATGCAAATGCTCAAACCAGACAGTTCTACTCATACTATTGAAATTCGCACTGAACGGGCTCCTCGCTGTCTCCCCAGTTCTACTGAGCCTCAACCTGTAACACTGGGTCAGGTGAGAACACAATCTCTTCACCACATGCTGAGTGACCACCACACTGGGACACCCTCGCCTCCCTGACAGTCTTTCTCCTCGTGACAAGCACACATGCAGCACGGCACAGCCACCACCCCGCACGCCCCTCCCCAGACACATCTGTCTCGCAGCCACCTGAGCACCGGAACAGCTGCCCTGCTCCTGCTTCTGGCAGCCACTGGCTGCGTCTGTTTCTCCGGGCCTGACTTGACCAGACAACAAGTGAGAGCGCACGGTGTTGCGCTGCTACCTTCTCTCACCTAGCACAACCACCTTGGGGCCCACAGACGGCAGGTGTGCTTCCTTGCGACGGCCGCGCGGTCATCCCCGGTGTCCAGCCACCCTCAGCCATCAGGGGTCGTGTGTACGAGGCTGCACCAACAGGCTCCGCGTCTGGCCAATATGCACAGTGGGTGACACCATCTACCTCTCTGTGACCACACCGTGAAGTCCCCACCACACACTTGCCGAACGCTCCCGTGTCACTCGATGATGCAGGACGGGCCACCGCCACATCGCACTCCGCTCGTTCACTGTCACGGAGGCAGCTACCACGCTGTGCCTGCTGTAAGTAGTGCTACAACACGCATGGACAGGATGCAGATGTCTCTTCCTAATAGTGATTTCACTTCCTTCAGAAACCAAACCAGAATTAAGGATTGCAAGACATTAAGGTATGCCTCAGCACAAAATGGGTAAAACAGAGAAAGGCTAAGAAGTCCCACAACTGCATACCAGATCTTGAAGGTGTCTTTGGAGAGAGTCCATGGGTTTCATTAATTCTCAAAGGGACTGTGACCTAGAAATGGTTACGAAATTCTATCATGGCGCTCCCTGGTGGCGCAAGAGGTCAAAGCGCAGCACGATGAAGCTGCCCTGGCCATTGCAACACGAGTTCCATCCTCAAGCCAGTAAGTGACCCACAGGGCACAGCAGACCCCTTTTGTCTCCCAGCTGCTCACCACTGTGTCTCTGATGAAACCTCTCACTGCCCCAGCACCTCTGGCCTGTACCCCAGTTCAATGCAAAAATAAATAAAACCTTTAAAAAAAATTGTGTCATTTCTATCACTTACATAATCATAAAATTATTCGCCACAGAGTATACTTCAGAATAGAAGTCATCTGAGGATATTTATGTTCTTGTGCTACTCACCAACGATGGATTCCCAAGAGCCAAAGTTTGCTTAAAACAATTTTGCAGACAGCGGCCTTCTGAGGTAAACAGCGCCACACCACCCCGCCATGTACTGAACCCCCCCCATCTAATATCAAGACTGTTATGACTGTCACAGCTTGCTCCACTTTTACAGTATCAGCTGCTAAATCAGGAAGCCTCAGAATGCTGTTCCTCTCATAAAAGGATCCCAAAATGTTACTCAATTTTACACTCTGGGTTTCCAGCTACCCAGGAAAGTATTTCCCCAGATTAAGCTACTATGACACTACGGCGATTTCTGATGACCAGCATCGTGTGACTGCTCCCGTATTTTTATCAGCCAAACCCACGTTACTTGGCTCCTGTGTATCTCTCAGACTCACACGTGCTCACACAATACCCCTGGGAAAGTTAGCCCACACACCAGGTCCCAAACCCAATCTCCTGCACCCCCTAAACTCCCTCATGAAAGCACCAGGGCAGGGTGGCAGGCACAGCTAGCAGCAGTCTCCGGGAAAGGTCAGCCCGGGGAGCTCATAACCCTGGTGTCCCAACGACGGCTACAGAAAGGCCTGCTCCTTTTCCAAGTAGCAAAACAGCAGCCTGGTACGTGCCTCCATCCTCAAGAAAGTTCACAACAGTCTGTTTTTCAATTAATTAGAAAGACCCTTTCCTCCACACTCAGATGATTTCCTAAGTTTGTGTGTTACCGTGTCCCAAAACCACAACTCAGCGTTATTCCTTCAGGCCGACATGAGACTAATATTGACGAGAGAATTTTAGACCTATCTTTGTTTTTATTCTCCAGTTTTATTATTTATTTACGCACAACAAGAGCTGGGGTACAGGCCAGAGGTGCAGGGGGTGAGAGGACGCCCCAGAGACAGGTGGGCTCTCTCCCGGGCTGGGAATCGAATAGCTCTGCAGCGCCAAGACAAGCCCCTGCGCCCCCGGGGAGGGCCGACAGTCGTCTTGATAAGCATCGGCGGGTCTGGGTCACTGAAAGCGGCGCAGTCTGACTCTCCAAAAGGCCCTCATGCTTCACTGCCAGTGCCTCGGAGTCAGTGCTCTTGCGCAGGGCTCTGGCTGCAATCGTGCAGTGCAACATCACTTCCAACTGGAAAGCGAACATACAACCGTCCGGATCCCCACAGCAGGCCCAATGAGGACATGTGATAACGGACTTGTGACCAGGCTGTCAGGCCACGACAAGAGGTTGGCGCCATGCTCTGTGAGCGCACTGGACAGCTACTATGGCTGCCGCGACTTGGCCCTCCCAGAGCAACGAGACAAACAGCAAGAGGCACCGGGCAAGACGCACGGTCTCGTGACAGACGCACTGCACAGGCGGAGACGGGAGCCGGAGCCACGGGCCTCAGAGTTCCTCCCCAAGGGAACCAACTGCCCCCACCCCGCAGGAACCCCCACAGGGCGCCAGCGGCCAGGGTGTGGCCACACGGTGCCTGGGACATGCACGCCATGAGGTCAGCAAGCCGGGCCGGCCAGCCGCCTCCAGTGAACGCCAGGACAGCAGCTGAACTCCAAGGAACAAGGCGCGAGGCTGGAACGCGCCGGTGCGGGGGCAGGGGGCGACGGGGGCTCCTCAGAAGAGCCTCAAGCAGTGAGATGCCAATGCAGGCTCCCGCAGGCGACGGCAAGAGCTGGGAGCCAGCCCGCAGCTCCGCGGAGGGGAACAGCGCAGTGAAGGCAGAGCTCCACCACCCGGCTTTCAGGGGCTTCGGGGGACCGGCACAGACCTTGACAAGCCCCTGGGCGCCCTGGCTCTGCAGGCCTTTTCTCAGGGCTCTCCACGCTCCTGCCTGGCGTCTCACCTGGAGACTACAGCCGCCTCCCTGGCCGCAGCGTCCTGTGGTCTGACCCACTTTCTGCACCACTGCCGGAATCCCACCCACTCCCACTGGCCAGTTGTCCTCTAAACCAGGGGCATCTCCAGCTGGCAGCGCGTCCTTGGCAAGGCCCGCAGCACGGTGCGCAGAGGAGCAGCAGCTGGCACCGACCGACCGCGCCCAGGTAGTTCAGACCTAGCCATGCAGAAGGAAGAGGACAGCACTCCTGTGATGAAGTGGTGACATCTGGGGAATCTGGGTAAAGGCTGAGATGGAGAATTCTCTTGCTATTTCGCCACATTTAGCCTGAAATTGTGTCAAAATAAAAAAAGCCTCCAACAGCCAAAACACTTCCCTCTGACCTGGCTCTTCAGGGCCGCTGCTGTGGGCGAGCGAACTGCCGTGGCAGGCGCAGCCTGCAGGCCTGAGCAACAGCGTGGCGCGTGGCACGCTGCTCCCAGGGAACCAGGGCTGATGAGCGCACGGGACAAGGCAGTCCCTCTGCAGAGCCAGAACCAGGGTGTGAGCCAAGACGCACAGGCCGCCTTCAGATGACGAGACAAAGATGAAGCACGCAAAGCCTGCAGAAAAGGGGCCACGTAGGGGCCTCCCGGTGGCGCAGGTGACAAGTCTCACACTATGCAGCCGGCCGCAGCCACTGCGGCACAAGGTGGGTCCATCCCCGGCTGGGGGTGACCTCAGGGCACTGTAGCCCCTCCCGTCTCCCTGCTGGTCCCTTCAGCAGTGGGTTTCAGGGTACCTGCCTGTTCTGCTCCCCACTCTGTCTCTGGGGCGTCCTCTCACCACCTCACACCTCAGAGCTGTACCCCAGTTCTGGATGCTTAAATAAGTCTTAAAAAAAAAAAATGAAGAGAGTGCAAGAGAGAGAAGCCATGTGAGCAGCATTTTGAGCCAGGGGGTGTAAAATGCTATGAGGTGACTGCAGCAGAGAACTGACAGGCACGGACCCCAACAGCCCAGAAACCCCAGGGCCTCGCCGTGGCCCTACCAACACCTTAGGCCCCCAGCCCAGCGTCAGCCAGGCAGCACCAGCACAACGTGACAGGCAAGAAAAGAGCTGAGACAGGAGCGGCCACGCCATGCCCCTAACCAGCGCTCCAAGCAGCCGCTCACAACCACAGCGGCGCACGGAGGTCCGGGTCCGACCCACACCCTGCTGTTCTCAAAGAACAGGAACAACTCAACAGCCGGCTGAAAAACATTTCCACACGAACAGAGGTGCCAAGACACTTCAAAGTGGTGCCACCAGAAAGCCACACATCTGCCTCTGTGGCATGACACTGGCAAACACGACTCGTGCGGGCTCAGAAGGAAGCAGCCCCAGCCCTCACCGGCCACCTCCACGATGTCCCCGGGGACGATGTCTCGGGCCTTGACGCGCTGCACGCTCTTCCTGTCCTGCCGGTACACCTTGCCCATCTCCGGCTCATACTCCTTAAGGGCTTCAATGGCGTTTTCGGCATTTCTTTCCTGCAGAACAGAAAGGCCAGACGAGTGAGTGGGTGCTGCCGCGCCCGACTTTGGAGGAATCAAAATTCAGCATCCTCGTGGGAAACCCCCCCCACACACACACACAGAGCACACATATGACGTCTGCAGGACTCCCACCTCAGGGCGAGTGACAGCACCGGGACCCTTACGGTTCTGTCTAAAGTGAAGACAGGCACCCCATGGTGAAGGGACACAGCCCTCCCCCGCCAGAAAGAGCCGCTCCCATGCCCCTGCTGCACCACAAGGCGCCACTGGGCTCAGCTACTAGGCCCCAGCCAGGGTTTCCACACGCACTACCAACACTGGCTTGCTGCCCATGGAGCGACACTGACGCGACCTCCCGAGACTGGTGTGCGCTCACGAGCCACATCAGGTGCTCAGGACCGTGCCCAGGCCCAGGCACTGTGAGTGACAGACTAGGAGGTCACAGTCTAAGACGGCACCCAGCGCCACTAAGCGAGGCTGGGCACACCGGGTACGCCAGCGCCCCATCGCCGAGATTTGGTCGTGCAGCTGTTCTGGTGTCACAGCAAAGCTGTAGGCTCAAGGTGAGCCACGCTGGGGAAAGGCTACAGGAGGCCTCCTTCAGGGATTCAGACAGAAACTAATACCTGTGTGTCAAATTTGTCCTTTTTTGGAGAACAAGCCATCCGAAGTGAAGGTGCAAACCTGTGTGCCCAGACGGCGCTGGCGGGGCACCGGAATGTCTCCCTTCCTCAAGCTTTTGCCCGCCAGGCTGAAGCTCTCCAGGGTAGTTTTACTTGGCTAGAGCCCACTTTCACTATCTCAGGAGTATACTTTCACCTGCTGACTAACAGGCTCTGCAGACGGTCCCTAAACCTGCTTATGAAGGGGATTCGGATGGCACAGCCAAGGGCAGAGACCGGGTGTCTCTGGGGTGTATGCCCACAGAAAGGACAGAGAAGCCTGCATCTGAGAAATTCACGGTAAAAAGCTCAGTCCCTCTCAGGTTTGCTTACTGCACACCACCTTATACTCAGCAGAAGTACTAGAGTATTTAACTCTGAATTGTGGCAGTTTTACTTCTATTTCCCTGTCTTCAAGGTTCTAACAAGGTGTTTACCTGGACTGCTCAATGTAAAGGAAATATCAAGAATACCCTGTTTTGCTCCAGTTAAAATTGTCTACTTGGTGGCACAAAGGGTTAAGCGCGGCCCTATGAAGCTGGCCGCAGCCCCTGAAGCAGGAGTTTGATCCCTCCTGTCTCCCCGCTGCTCCCCTCAGCAGTAGATTTCAGTAGATCCGCCTGTTCTGTTCCCTGCTCTGTCTCTGGTGAATCCTCTCACTTCCCACACCTCTGGTCTGCACCCCAGCTCTTGTGTGAATAAAATCTTCAAAAAAAAAAGGCCTCCATGTTTACTAATGAGACCCAAGTTTGTGATTCCAATAGCACTAAGATGTCTCTAAGACGTCAGTACAAAGAACAACAGGTACTGTTTTAATCTTCAGAAGGGTAACGATACATCAAAAACCTAAACTTAAAAAGTATTCGTCCCAAAGTCTATTAAAAAAAAATCAGATCAACAAAGTAAAGTTCTCAGACTAGGTTATCTGCAGAAGAACGATTCTGTGACGTGACAAGTGACGGGGTCCACCGTATTTCTGCAGCAAATGGCCTTCCACTCGGTGACTAAAAAGTGCCTGGGCAACCACAGTACAGCATCCTCAAGGATGCTCAAAGGGGAAAGTCAACTTTTACAGCTCAGCCACCCCACACCCCACCCACCCCAAGTTCCAAGAAGCATAAAAAAGCACTGACTTTATGAAGTATTTCACAGGCGGCAAACAGATTTACAGTAACAAATGCTGGTTCTCGAACACTGCTGTTTTCCTCAAGTAGCTTTTCCTGCCTGTTGCTCTTAACTCCACCCCACCATAAAGGATGAGCAGCTTCACAGCCAAGAATGAATGAGATCTCCAGAAATGTGCCATTAAATAAATTAGTGGACAAAGACAAAACACATGCACGCGTTCCACAGAAGATTTTCAACAGCACGCCAGGAAAAGCAAGCCGTCAGCACAGCCACCATCACTCACAGAAACACAACCCGGCGGTGCTCACCTGCCACACGCCCACGATCGCATTGGCGACTAGTATGAGCAGAATCACAAAGGGCTCTACAAAGGCCGTGATGGTTTCTTCACCTTCTTCAAACCAAGCCAAAACCTGGAAGAGAAATGGCGACAGTGTTAGGCCTCGGCTGCGTGGAAGACTGAAGAATCTCTAGATACAGTATGCGAAACCCGCTTCCTACCTCCCTGGAAAACAAACAGCGGCGCCCTCCGCAATCATTACGCAACAGCTAATTCCACATTAGAAGCCTGCTTTAAATTCCAAACACAGGGGGTACATCAAATCAGAAGTAATCCCACTTACATTTGTCATGCATGTGTTAAATGAAACAAATCCGATTCTGCTGAATAAAAGGCAATCATCGAAAAGTTGGTAAGAGGTTTTATTCCCATCAATACTACGAATGTGGCAGAAATTCATAGCAAACATGTTCTTTCTTAGAAATACTGCAAGGTCGGGCCCGTATCAGCACTGCCATCGAGGCCCACCACTGCAGCCCGAGTCTATCCCTGGCCGGGGAGCCACCCCAGGGCACAGCAGACACCCCTGTCTCCCCACTGTCCCCCTCAGCCATGTATCTCACGGGATCCGCCAGTTCTGCTCCCCACTCTGTTTCTGAGGACTCCTCTCAACCCTCACAACTCTGGCCTGCACCCCAGTTCTATGCAAAGATAAACCTGCAAATAAAAAGAACTACGCCAGGTTGTTGGGCACAACCAAAGGCCATCCTGAAGTTCACCCCTCCATGACCTGTGTGACAGTACAGCCCCTCAGAGAGAATAAGTGCCGAACACAGAACACTGCCCGAGGAAAAGGAGCAGAGAATTAATTCCTGGTTCTTACAGCCACAAGCCCATTAAGATTCAAAAACGGGGGGCTCAGGATCAGCACTAGCAAGCTATTGCCAGCCACTGCGGTCTGAGTGCGACCCCTGGCCAGCCAGGGAGCTCACTCACAGGGTGCAGCAGTATAGGAGTAAGGGTGCAGGGCAGAGGCGCAGGCGCAAGGAGTCAGGGAGACTGGGGAGCAGAACAGGTGGATCTACTGGAGTGCACTTCTAAGGGGGGGGGGCGGGGGACAGCAGGTGAGACAGGAGGGCCCTGCCACGCCCTGGTGTCACTCCCTGGCCCAGGAGTGCCAACCCAACTCATGCTGCAGGGCTGTGCACGGCCAGACAGCGCTGTCTTAAACCTCTGCACCACCAGGTAGGCCCCCACCCCAGTTCTTATATGCAAAAGTAAATGAAAAAAGATTTAAAAGCCACCCAAGAGTCACACCACTTTCCAACCCAGCAGCTCGGGAATCTCAGATCTGCACAGTAAAGAACAAGGCGACAGAATCCCTAGACGGTTCCAAGTTTAGCACCAAATCTGTCTGCCGATCCAGACAGGATTCTAGACAGGCAGTGAGCGAACCTGGGAGGTAAAAACTGCCTTTGTTGGCCCTCCCTGGTGGCGCAGCGGGTTAAAGCACTGCACAAAGAAGCTTAAGCCACTTCCTCATGAGTTCGATTCCCGCCTGCCCCCGGAGGAAACCACATGGCGTGGCACACCTCTCCTGACCCGCCCGCTGCTCCCCTCAGCAGTGTACTTCTTCGATCTGCCTGTTCTGCACCCCACTCTGTCTCTAGTGAATCCTCTCACCCTCCGCATCTCTGGCCTGTACCCCAGTTCTGTATGAATAAATAAATAAATCTTTAAAAAAAGTAAAAAAAAAAACTGCCTTTGCTTCTTTAGCTTGCTTTAAGTATGTTTCACAAGAAAATGCTTCTTAGAAAGGGTCTTACACCCACGAGGATGACAAGTGACATGGGAAAGGCGCAGAGTGGTGTGAAGGCGACTGTCGTCATTGCTGATGAAACCATGTGGCCACCTATGTACTCAGAATGCCAAAAACTAGTCTTTTAGGTAACAGTAACCCAGACTAGAAATAATTACAGGCCACGTCCAACAACTATCAGCTGAAGCAAGGGAAAACCCAGGCCTGTGCGCAGGGGCAGGCGGGGGGTGCTGTGCCGGTCACCATGGCAGCAGGGTTACAGGCTGCAGCCTGAGGCCAGGCCCCAGGCCAAGAGAAAACTTCTCCAGGAAGCTATAAACTTGGAGGGATAGAGATCACAGCTGTTCAGAGACCAGTCTTTCAGCTGTCTGCCAAGGAGAACCCGTCAGAAATAAGGACTTAACTAGCTCTGGGGAGAAGAAAGAAGAGTAACCGAGACCTTTGCAAAAGGTCAGTGAGACATTAGCAACTGCAAGATAAGCCTCGCACCTTGTTAAAGCAGGCCTGAGTTTCCTTCTTGGCAGCTAGGCCGGAGGAACACACTTAAAGCCAGATCCCAGAACAGCTGGCGGAAAGAGGACTGCAGCGGCCAGCAGCAGCGCGTGGACTCCAGGGCACAAGAGGCGCTCGCCCCCTCCGACGCCTACTGCGGTCCCCGCCTTCTCTGCTGCGATTCTAGTGCTTTGTTCAAGGACACAGGCACGCGGCTCTCTAGTCACTAGTTACCGAGTGACGAACAACCAGCGGGCAGATCTCTCTGGGTGGAAGGATGGTGCGAAACAGAATTAAAGCGATAACCCGACCCTCCCTGGTGGTGCAGCAGGTAAAAAGTGCAGCACTGAGAAGCGAAAGCCCCTTCTGCATGAGTCCGATCCCTGCCCTAGAGCTGACCCCTAGTGCGCAGCAGACCTCTCCTGACCCCGCCCGCTGCTCCCCTCAGCAGTGCACACAGCGTACTTCGTCCGTCGGACTGCTCTGCTCCCCACTCTCTCTGGTGAAGCCTCTCACTGCCCCTGCCCCTCTGGCCTGCACCCCAGTTCTGTGTGCATAAGCAATTAAAGCTTTAAAGAAATTGATAACCAATTTTTTCTGACTACTTAATCTATTTTCAAAACCACATACAATGAAAAGAATTAACAACAGCTCAAAAGGAAGATGGAGCATATTTCATTTAACTGGAAAGAATCAACCCAGTCAACTGCGTTCCAGTTCTGCTGTGTGTCCCACATGGCTTTATCCTACAGAGAGGAAACCTCTCCTGTGCTTGGGAAGATGCTGCTGACCTACTGGACTCCACAGGATGGGGGTCAAAGAAGCAAACTGACCACTGTCCCTACATATTCTAAGACCTTATTAGCACCACAGCACCCATTCACTATTATACGAAATAGCCCCCCGGAGACCCAAGGGGTTGTGTCCCAGCACTATGCGGCTGTCCCAGCCCTGCAGCCTGAGCTCGATCCCTGGCCAGGGAGTGACCCACATGCCCCACGTCAGCAGTGTATTTCAGCGGACCTGCCTGTTCTGCTCCCTACTCTGTCTCTGGGGACTTCTCTCACCACCGTACATGACCTATATGTACCCCAGTTCTTGCATGCATAAATAAATTTTTAAAATTTTTTTTAAAGAAGCAAAATAAATAAAGGCACTTTACAAGAATGAAAAAAGCAATTTTTCTGGGATAGGAAATGTTCTGTCACCAAAAAATAAAGGAATAAATGACGAGTATCTATTAAGCTAGAAGAAACTACATCTTTGGCTCTAGAGCGTTACTGTGAAAACACTCAACATTTCCAGACTTGAGAATACAGCTGAAACTTAAAAACAATAGAATGTATCTCAGTATCAAAACCACATGTAAAAGGACCTAAATCATTAGTCACATCAGCTAATTAACAGCCCCATTTTACCCCTTTTTGAAAAGAAAACGCTAAAATCTAACCATGTAAATAACTCAGTATCAAAACTCCCCAAATGCATGGTTCTGAGAACACCAAAGCTAACAGATTTAACATCTCACAAATGTTACCCATACGAACCCAAACGTGTGTCAAGTCAAAGGCGCTCAGGCAGGCTTTCTAGGGAACTCATCTTTGTAGGGGTCCAGATGCTGCCCAAGCTCTGGCCCTGGAGCCCGCAGGGTAGGTACAGGAGCGCCAGCCGGGCACAGGCGCAGAAATGGCGGCAAACGGGGGCCCACAGACGTCTCTGCCCTTGCCTCACTTCCCTCGGGTCCTACCCCCACCGCCCAGTCACCCTTTCTGACCTCCCCCCAAGAACGTGGACTCGGGGTGAGGGACCTGGGCCGTGCACCGGTCACCAGTGTCCCCTGGCAAAGCAGCCGAGGACCATGACAGGCTGCAGGGAGGCCAGAGGGCAGAGCGAGAGCACCGGGTATGGGCCGCTCCCTTCCGAGCCCAGCTCCTGGCGGGTGTCGGCAGTGACTCGCCTTCACCCTCCAGGTCACAGTGGCTTTCAGCAGGGCGGCCACTCCGGCAGAGGCCTGGAGTCGCCCCGGCTGCTGGGCCGCCCCCACACCCCCTGTGAAAGCAGAAGGGACAAGTTTGCTGCCCCCAAGGGCCTGCGCAGCAGCCAGCCCACGGAAGCTCAACCAGCCGGGTTTGATGACTTGAATTGATTTCTATAGTAACAACACAGCTCCACTTCTTCCTGCTAAACAATCCACGACTAGAAATTTAACCGTTCATCTCCCGAGCCAAAAAAGTAGCAGACTCCAACTCCAAAACAGTCCTACAAAGAACGCAAAACCCAACAAAAACCGAAAACCCAGTGAAGGCACTTACAGAAGCAACCTGGGCAGGCCCTTAAGCGATGACTTGGTAAAGTAAAAGGCAAACAAACTCCCTCAGCTCAAATGCTGACACAAGCCCGGGTCATCGCTGTCCCCCACATTAAAAATAAGCCAAGGACACAGGCCTCAGGCACACCGGGCGTGCACATGGCTGGCCGGCAGCATCCGGGCCCTGGCAGCGACCCCCGAAGCTGCACCTACTCAGTACCCCAGCTGCGCCGGCCAGCTTACATAAAGCCCGGCGCTGGCCAACAGCCCTCATGGCCGCCCTGTCCACGACCTATGTGGAAACCAGTTAATCGGAGAGCTGTGCCAGCTCTGCCCCTGCCTCTCACCAGGGAGCAGCCTCAGGAGGCTCAATGGCGACAGCGCAGCTTCGCAAGGCAGCGGCCGCAGGATGCCAAGGGGGTGCCTGAGACATGCTGCCTGCATGCCTTAAACCTGGGGAAGCTTCATGCCCCCCACACCCCGTGGTACAAGGATGCGCCGCAGCCCCCGCCTGTCCCCCGCTATCCCCTCAGCTGTGTATCCCAGGGGATCCGCTGTCCTGCTCCCCATTCTGCAGCTGGGGCATCCTCTCACCCCCACACCTCTGGCCTGCACCACAGTTCTGTGTGCGTTAAATGTGTCTTAAAATAAGGAAAAAGCTCCCAGAAGCCGGCAGCTGCCTGTCATGTGCTAGCGAGCAGGGCAGGGCCACCGCGCTCAGGCGGGGCCCCGCAGTGGCCCTCCAGGGGTCCTCGAGCTCAGCTGCCACCAAAGAATCGCCCAGCGCCGCCCGGGGGGAGTTTCACTTCACATCTCTGCTTTTACACGAAAACCCAACCCGAAACTGAAGCACAAGGCCACGCTGCGCTGCCGTTCGGGCGAGGACGTTAGACCGACCCTTTCATGACCATTTTTAGGAAAACCGCGCGGCGACGCCCGACGAGCAACGGAACAAACAGACACAGGGTCCGGCGGCGGCCGGCGCCCCCACCTCAGGCCCGCGGCGCGCTCCCGGGCTCCGGGTCACTCAGGGTCCGAGGCAGCCGCACACACCCGAAGGTCGGTGACCAAATTTGGTCAACAGTCGCCCTGACGGCAGCCCCCCGCCGCCCCTCAGGAACAGCTGTCACCTGGCCACGGGGGCGAGTCCCCCCCCACCGTATGTCCACAGCGCGCAGCCCGCAGAAAGCGCCCCCGCGAGGCCTTTCGGACAACGGCGCCCGCGCCCCCGCAGCCCCCCGCGCACTCACAAAGGAGATGCAGGCGGCCAGGAGCAGGATCCGCACCAGCAGGTCCTCAAACTGCTCGATCACCAGCTCCAGCAGGGTCTTCCCTGGGGGACACAGGGCGTCGGTCCCCGCGGCACCTGGGCGGGGCGCGCCGCCGCGGGGTACCGGACAACTCACTCACCTTCCTCGGCAGGCAGCTCTGCGGGGCCCGGCGACGGCGTCCAGGGGAGAGACTATTAGCGCTTCCGCCCGGTCACCGGGGGCGGGCGGGGGCGGGGGCGGGAACGCGGGGGTCCCCGGACGGGACGGGGGATCCCCAGGGGCGGTCACCCGGAGGTCATCCCGGGGCGGCCACCGGGGGGCGTCCCCGGAGGGGGCCCACGGGGACGGTCGGCGGGGAGGTCACCGGATACGGGGGGGGGCCCGGAGGGGCCCACCGGGGGTGGTCAGCGGGGAGGTCACCGGAGACGGCGGGGGGGGGCCCCGGAGGGGCCCACCGGGGGCGGTCAGCGGGGAGGTCACCGGAGACGGGGAGGGGGCCCACCGGGGG